ATATTAAAGGCAGTTTGTAGTATATTCACGATATACTCAGTACGTTCGCCTGTGACGAAGCACGTTTCTGATTACAGGCTGCATCTGCCAGCTGTGCTCACAGGTAGATAATCAATGGCATATTTGCCAGAGTAGGGCATTGTATACCGTTATTATACACCAAATGTATGAAACATGACACAGCAGATTGGATACTGCAATCTGTGTATATGAACACTCGACACGTGTGATTGGGTCGGACCTATTTGTCACCAGGGGGCGGTAAACACGGCCAGCTGCCTCTGCATTTGCACTTGCCTATCAGGGAATAATATCAGTGGCAATTATAAATATGTCGAATGTATGTGTTCAACCTATACGTGTGTCTGTTGTACTAGCAGTGATTGTTGCACGTATGAAAGTGCTCTGGTTGTACTCTGTATTATGTCGAGACTATGCATAATTCTGTATGAGAACTTTGGTGCTTCTGTTCTGAGTTGTCATTCTGTAGGGGGCGCTTGGGTAGCCAAGCAGTTAAAGCGTCCGCTTGTCACGCCGAAGAGCCGGGTTCGATTTTCCATATGGGTACAATGTGTGAAGCCCATTTATGCTGTTCCCGCCGTGATATTGCTGAAATATTGCTAATATCGGCGTAAAACTAAAACTCACTCACTACCTGTTATTCAGTAGGGACAGGCATGGTGCCATGTAGTTGCAGGGAAAGTGGCACGGATGGCCCAGTCATCTGAACCAGCGCTGTGTAAAGTTACGTCCCTTTGGGATGCAAGAAATCCACGATCGTTGGTTCGAATCTATGATTTGCAATGATTGTGTTTCAAGGTTTGTCAGTATCATACCTGTACTGGTGGGCTTCAACAAAATGATAAAACGTCCAAAAAGACCACTTGAGCAGACTCGCTCACTCAATTTGAGGGTATCTACACACATTATTAAAGGCACAGTGTCACACATTTTCACACAATGTCAAGGGACATAACTCTATGGGGTTCGCTTGAAATAATGTTCGACCGGAAGAGGGCGCGAGAGTCGATTTAGTGCAACGTTAATTCTTTCGAACTTTTTAATTTAATATTGAAATGTAGATACGTAATCTTTTTTTATTTTTTATTTTTATTTTGAAGAAATTATATGGTAGCTTCAGGAGGGCTGATAGTTGGCAGTATTGAGAGAAGTGCATTATTTATTTTTAGAGAAGTGTGGTGTGGTATAGTCAAGCTATTCCGCGTCAGAGACATACTCGGTTAACCAGTTTATTTCAACTCCACTGCATTGAGACACAGTGCACTGAATAACTGAGAATATATTGTATGCGACATCCATTACAACCGGTTAACCTGACAGTGTCCGCGAAGTGAAGCTGTTTTTATTGCCAGGTGTTTTGCTATAGCTGTTGACAGCGTTGAAACCTACCTGTATAGCTTAAATAGCTCACATACCTTATCATGGCCAGGACTCGACAATAAGACCCTGAATATATCCCCGGGGAAGAGCGGGTGGATTACTGGCAAGTTCCCAGTTCTTCCCTCGTTATAACTGCGGTATAGATTTGAGTATGGCTGCCATGATGTTGAAGGTAAATTTCAGTGTGCCTATCATGATGTTGAAGGTAGATTTCAGTGTGCCTGCCATGATGTTGAATGTAGATTTGAGTATGCCTGCCATGATGTTGAATGTGGATTTGAGTGTGCCTGCCATGACGTTGAAGGTAGATTTGAGTGTTCTTGCCATGATGTTGAAGGTAGATTTCAGTGTGCCTGCCATGATGTTGAAGGTAGGTTTCAGTATGCCTGCTATGGTGTTGAAGGTAGATTTGAGTGTGCCTGCCATGATGTTGAAGGTAGATTTCAGTATGCCTGCTATGGTGTTGAAGGTAGATTTAAGTGTGCCTGCTATGGTGTTGAAGGTAGTTTTCAGTATGCCTGCTGTGGTGTTGAAGGTAGATTTGAGTGTACCTGCCATGATGTTGAAGGTCGATTTGAGTATGCCTGCTATGGTGTTAAAGGTAGATTTGAGTGTGCATGCTATGGTGTTGAAGGTAGATTTGAGTCTGCCTGCCATGATGTTGAAGGTAGATTTGAGCGTGCTTGCCATGATGTTGGAGGTAGATTTCACTGTGCCTGTCATGATGTTGAAGGTAGATTTGAGTATGCCTGCCATGATGTTGAATGTAGATTTGAGTATGCCTGCTATGGTGTTGAAGGTAGATTTGAGTGTGCCTGCCATGATGTTGAAGGTAGATTTGAGTATGCCTGCCATGATGTTGAATGTAGATTTGAGTATGCCTGCCATGATGTTGAATGTAGATTTGAGTGTGCCTGCCATGACGTTGAAGGTAGATTTGAGTGTTCTTGCCATGATGTTGAAGGTAGATTTCAGTGTGCCTGCCATGATGTTGAAGGTAGATTTAAGTATGCCTGCCATGATGTTGAAGGTAGATTTCAGTGTGCCTGCCATGATGTTGAATGTAGATTTGAGTATGCCTGCTGTGGTGTTTTTGAGTGTACCTGCCATACTGTTGAAGGTAGATTTGAGTGTTCCTGTCATGGTTTTAGGGGAGATTTGAGAGCCATACATTTGGCTCAGAGAGATTTTGTGATAATGGTACCTGCAAGCTTAAATAACCGGGATCGTCCTGGACCTGAGTGTCCAGGGTGTGTCCCTATGCGAGTAGATGGGCGAACTCATACCCAAACGAGGATTCGGGAGGACGTTTTGGACCTTTGCTTCCTGGGGTGCCTCACCCACTCACTCACTCTAGACACAGCACCCATTCACTCACTCACTCACTCACTCACTGTACATGCAATTGTTCTGGCAAGAGTATCTAAACTCTTGTCGGAAAAGTCGACTGAAATAGGTGTGGCTCGGTGGTTGATCATCTCAGACAGACGATAGATTACCTGCAACACGTTCCGTTGTTTACTGACCGCCGTGGTATGGCTGAAATAGTGCTGACTGTGTCGTAAAACAACATTCATTCATTTTCCATTCAGGATAATCACAGTTGTCGCTATCCGCAGCTTCTGAATTAGTGACTCAGTGTAACGCATTCGCTAAAGGACAATGTCAAATATAGACAGGGTGCTGGACCAAGAATCTGGCGGTGTTCATGGCCATAGACAGTGTCGCATCACTCTGCAAAGACTGAGAGGATTTGCGGTGGATTACAGCCCAGCCATTGGGATTTGATGCCTAGTGCCACCTCACCTTGCAACATGCCAGCGTCTCCTTGCAGAAAAGTATTTTGGCCAAGTTTGTTCCTTGTTGTGTTTGCGAATGCAACGTATGCGCAGTCGTTACCTTCATTTCATGGTTTCTAACGCGCAAACGAAAATCAGCGACATTAGCGAGTAGGGCTTCAGGAACAGAATGTATACATAGATACATCACACGAACCTATATGCTGGAGTCAGATGCGACAATTGGGTTGTGTGGTCAGACTCGGTATCCCCGTTCTATATACAGACTCTTTGTTATGTGGCTTGAGGGGGCGGTGGGGTAGTCTAGTGGTTTAAGCGTTGGCTCGTCACGCCGAAGACCCGGGTTCGAATCCCCACATGGGTACAATGTGTGAAACCCATTTCTGGTGTCCCCCGCCGTGATATTGCTGGAATATTGCTAAAAGCGGCGTAAAACCAAACTCAGTCAGTCAGTCAGTATGTGGCTTGAGCTCTGCTGACTGCGGCGTCAAATACTCTCACTCACTCACTCAGTTAATTTCTTGTTCTCGATCGAGTTTCGTTGCTTATATTCAAGCATGATCATTTCTTACAGATAATGCTGCTTCTGAACACCAATACACGAGGCACAAACAGTTAGGTTAAGTCAGGAGATATTAGGAGCACCCCTTAAAATGTGATACACTTTGGACCAACATGAAAGTAATATGGCAGATAATTCTTGTAAAATGGTTAGTACACTGGACACACAAGAAGAAAACGATTATCGCCTATAATATTTTACGGCGTGAAGCAATATTTATTCATTCAAATAATGAAGGCTGCAGGTCGGTGTTACCTATCGTCGAGTTTCAATACATCATTGCGTCCATCAACTATATCCGGGTCGTCCGCTGTTTCTGGGTTCGAATCCAAGATTTTTCATGAGGGTTCACGACGTAGGTAAACGCCAATGGCCTGTTTTGGTTGCAGCAAATAAAATAGCATTCAACAGGTACCACATCATGTTGGCGCCAGTATTAGAAAATAAGGAAAGGACGACTCTTGCCAAGTCTAATCGCGGAGGCCTCTCTCAATTTTGAAGGGCCTTTGGGGCAGCCAAGAGATTAAAACGTTCGCTCGTCACGCTGAAAGCTCCCCATACATGCGTACAATGTGTGAAGCCCTTTCCAGATGTCCCATAGTGATATTGCTGGAATATTGCTTATAAGTGGCCTAAAACCAAACTCACATACTCTTAATTTGAGCCCGAAAAGAAAACTTGACCCACTGTGGCCAGAACCTTGCTGGTGAGGAATATTTCTTCACGTCTCAGTCAAACTGAAAACTTGCTCATCTGTGCAAAGATGGGGTTCGAATGTTGACAAAGAGTCGTGAACATTGTCTAAGCATCCATGTGAACTCATCGCGAGACTGTCACTTTGCTGTTCACATTGCATCACGTACGGCAGATTTGCTGGAAAAAGCTGGTATCTTTAGAAAACAAATGTTTGCCGTCTGACTTGAGTTTGGGTCAGCAGGGGCTCTAAACTTAGCCTCACTCAAACCCACCCTCGATTATCCAGTGAAATACGTCGCCATTTATTAATATACAATCAACATTATACCTTGAAAATCGAGAATGATCACATGACCTTGACCTTTTTTCTTTAACACTTTTCATGACCTTGACCTTGATTATTTTTCGTAGTTTTTCATTTCAGTTCAATTTCTGAAGCCCAATACTAGAGTAGCATGTCCCGATGCTGATGGAATAATACAAACATTGGCATACACTTTCTCATCCCACTTACTCATTTATCGATTTCTGTTCCCTTCCAGATTGTGACCCAACAAAACAAGATCGAGCAGGTGCTTGAAGCCAAGAGAGTGAACTTCATTAAGATCGACATTGCTTCCAACGCTGAGTCCAAGGAAGAGATGCGGACCATCATGGGGGACGACCATGGACTTGCCCCTCAAATCTGTAACGGAAACGTTTATTGTGGAGTAAGTATTGATGTCAGTACAAGTACGGGGCGGTGGGGGTAGCCTTAACGGTTAAAGCGTCCGCTCGTCACGCCGGGTTCGAATCCCCACTTGCCTACAATGTGTGATGCCCATTTCTGGTGTCCCCCGCCGTGATATTGCTGAAATATTGCTAAAAGCGGCGTAAACTGAAACTCACTCACTCACTGTTATTCAGTAGGGACAGGCATGGTGCCATGTAGTTGCAGGGAAAGTTGCACGGGTGGCCCAGTCATCTGAACCAACGCTGTGTAAAGTTACGTCTTTTTGGGGATGAAAGAAATCCACGATCGTTGGTTCGAATCTAAGATTTGCGATGATTGTGTTTCAAGGTTTGTCAGTATCATACCTGTCTTGTAGAGTATTTTTTTATGTTTTTGTTTTTTTATATTTTTATTTTTTTTAATGTCGGCCTCAGCAATATTCCAGCTTTATGGCAGCAGTCTGTAAATAATCACATCTGGACCAGACAATCAGTGATCAACAGCATGACAATCGAGCTACGCAACTGGGATACGATGACATGTATTAACCCGATCCCCTTACTCTTACGACAAGCATGGGTTGCTAAAGACCAATTCTAACCGGGATCTCCACAGGTGGTTTAAGCTCGATGGTTTACAGTCGTATCGCTGCAATATTGCCCAGTGTGGCGTTTGATAATTAGGCGGGAAGACTTGGTTTCTTTTACCTCTAAATACATGTATACCGTTCTTTCAAAAAGGCAATAGGATATGGATTGTACATACTCCCAACATGGCCCAGGAGAACAGGGAATAGTTGACAACTGTTGCCATTGATGCCAACGCATAAAGACGTTGCTACATATACTAAGAATTATCTCTTATAATGTCACTTAATCCCATACGGTTCAGGCCTAGGATATCATGTTTCAAATTCGTGTGATGTGGCTTTAGAGCAATCGCCAGGAGAAATTGCATCGACATGCAAGCGGTGTAGGGGAAACAACTCTCTCAGACTAACCTGTCACCTATGCATTTGTTGCATTTTAACACCAGGATATAGCGGCAAAAGAGATTACCATGAGGAAATATTTTGAGTGAATTATGCCATGTCTAATAAACTATTCCTGTGAAGTATTTCTTTGTCCGTTGTGGGTGTGTATCTGGATGTAACACACTTAGGGGCGCTAGTGGTGAATTTGTATGAGCTACGTAACGCTGCAAGTGTTATTAACTCGTGTTATTCCGGGACAAGCCGAATAGCGAGGTCACGGAGAGTGGTGACGAATGTGCAAGTCCTTAACGAGTTGCGTCCCTTAGTTTCGATTCCCGGCTGGCTATTATTGTATTCCGTGTTTGTCGCCACCACATACAGGTGTTTATTTGGTTTCACAAAGTTGTAAACGTCGTATGCCTGTAGGAACGATGGGATAGCCTAATGGTTGAAGACCCCTGAAGGTCCGGGTTAGAATATTGATCTTCAGTAACCCATGCTTATCGTAAGGGGCGACTAACGGGATCGGGTGGTCAGGCTCGCTGACTTGGTTGACACATGTCATCGGTTCCCCATTGCGCAGATCGATGCTCATGCTGTTGATCACTGGATTGTGTGGTCCAGACTCGATTATTTGCAGACCGCCGCCATATAGCTGGAATACTGCTGAGTGCAGCGTAAAACTAAACTCACTCACTCACTAATGGTTAAAGCGTCCGCTCGTTACGCTAAAGACACAGGTTCGATTTCCCATATGGTACAATGTGTGAAGCCCATATCTGGTGTCCCCCGCCGTGATATTGCTGGAATATTGCTAAATGCGGCGTAAAACATTCTCACTCACTCACTCGTATGCCTGTATTATTATAACATTCTTAGATTTTACAGCCAACGGGTGGATCGTCTGGTCAGGACTTGATTATTTCACAGACTGCAGTCATACAGCTTGAATATCGTTGAATATGGCGTTATGCAACAGACAGGATGTAACAGGAATGTTATTCAGTCTTCACCCAATCTCACTTACTTTTATCACAGAATTACGAAACGTTTGCTGAAGCAAACGAAGTAGGCGAGCTGTTTGACTTCTTGAAACTCCCGAACCCCGTCAAAGAACAAAGCTAAGACACTGAGGTAACGTTGTATTTTACATACCCTGTTTACAGTTAGCTCAGCAGGCACTGCTTCCACTTGCTACAATAACACCTGGGTTTTAATCCATGGTTTTAGTGGGTTCCTATTCTCGTGGTTACGAAATGGCATTATAGGTTATGTAGTAGTCAAGTCACGCTTGGGGGGGCACTTGAACTTTTGTTCAGTACCTGAGGTATGTATACTGAATTCCAAAAGAAACGTAAATATTACAAATGTTTGAAATTAGATGAAATTGGACATAAGTCAAGGCGGGTGGTACGTGTTTAGACAATCATTCCAGTCAGTTGTGTGTTCTGATGATACCGAAGTGGCTGATGGAGGTTATACTCCGTACTGAAACGCCATTTCCCAGGACTCTACAGCGACCTTACCAAATGGCGCAATCTAACGACCTCTGTTTGACACTATCGCAAAATACACAGGTGTACTGTGTACACATTAAGTGGATTAAAATTAAACAAAACATTATGTTTCTTTTTCAGATTTTTATTATCCGGATTTGATGCAATACTGAATTCAAAACAGATCCAGTTGAAACTAGGCGAGAACGGCACCCTGAATGTAGGAACTGCTCGGACATGCCTTCGTCGCCACTTAGATGTCACGTGACAGCGTTTGTACTTGTATATATATACCTTCCTCTTTACTATTAAAGGGTATTTTCTGTTGTATCTTGTATTGTCAGATGTAAAGCCTATTTTGTTACAACTTTCAAACATCATTTATTGTCCATAAGAATATATTTATATTTGTACATGTTCTGAGTTCACGCAAAAATATATGGCGATGTAAATGGTAGACTAGTTTGAATTTAGATAATCAAAATAGAAGAGTGCCAGTATAAGCTAGTATTCAAAATGTCATTATAAATCCAGTTCATAATTATACAATGAGGTGACATGCTGTTTTTGGTGTGGTTATCTCCCTTTCTTCTTTCAATGTTCACGGCTAACTCCGGTAGATGATGCAAAACTAGCCCAGTTTCCTGTGTATGCTGCGCTAGCGCTTCACTGCGCAGCATATACATGTAACCAAACAGATTTGACTTCCATTCGTAGCATTGGTTCGGTACCTAGATCACCTACATCGTGCATGAACATGCAGTGAACGTTCACCGGCTCTCCACCCTTAACAATTCGATGGTCTTAAAGAGTACCAAAGGGAGATAACCAAACCAAACCAAAACATTATTATTAATATACTTCACACGAAGCATGATGTAAAAATTTCAGTTAACTTTATCGTACTAAGACAAACAGGTTAGCTTTAAAAAAAAGTCTATTAGTTAGATAAATTTTAAAAGAGTACAGCAATATATTCCTGGTCTCGGGGTGTTCAAGTATCGTAGGCATTCCGGACCAGATCGTATCGTTTCGGGATAAGTCGAATGGTGACCGAGAGATGCGAGTGAAAACGAATCATTTGTCATCTCATTTCTGGGTTCCATGGTGACGGACCCATGGTGGTATTTCAAAATGTAATATGTACGAAAAAGGTGTCGACAACATTTGCCACAGACTAACTTTCCAATGCAGAAGAATAGACTTCATTCCAGAGCTTTAACCCATCTCTCCCGGTTTCATAAGTGCGAATATTTGTATATTCATATTGCCAAAAAAGGTAGTGTCTATGCTTTGCTTAATTTGAGGGGGGCGGTGGGGTAGCCTGATGGTTAAAGCGTTCGCTCGTCACGCCGAAGACCCGGGTTCGATTCCCCACATGGGTACAATGTGTGAAGCTCATTTCTGGTGTCCCCCGCCGTGATATTGCTGGAATATTGCTAAAAGCGGCGTAAAACCAAACTCACTCACTCACTCACTTAATCTGAGGTGTAATTTGTAACGCTATTCTGGCCAATACCAGTTTTCTGTTCCTTAGAAATACGCTTAAACATATTCAGTCTTCAATCTAATTTCTGCCTGCTAGTCTAATGTTTGATGGGACGGATAACCGAGTGGTAAAGCCTTGTCCCGGGTTCGGTTCCACGCTTGGGTACAATGTGTGAGTTCCAGTCTTGGTGTCCCCCGTCGTGATATTACTGTCTTGTTGCTGGAAGCGGCTTACAAATGTACTCACGCGTATGCTTTGATTGTAAATGTGTATCTCCTTTGACAGTAGTCACGCTCAGTCATCCAGGTCTCGGGATCTGTCAAGTCAGTATTTTGTTTTTGTTTGTTATCAGATATTTCAGATCAGTTAAGTATTGCATTCATAAATAGGTTTGTACATTCATAAAATCATGACAAGCTTATATTTGTAGTACCTGCAGAAAGAATGATTTTTTGACAAATTTACATCTCGAAACGCCCTTGTTTGTCTTCATCTTAACGTCTTGTAAAGAATCGTTTTCACTGAGAAATATTTCAGAATGAAACACATCAGTACGTTTTGGAATGGCGATCGTATGATAGAGGTGGTCAACATGGCCGTCACAATTTCGATCAGTTGGACAGTACAGACATCATCAATTGCTGTCTAGTATTCGACCATGTGAAAATTCCAACGGTTACTGCCAGCCCTATGCCCTATGGCTTCTACTTCTAGTGGCGTGTCGCTCCATCCCTTTAAAGAATAGAAGGCTAACTAACATGTAAAACATATATACTGTGTCAATGTATACCCAGTAAAGTGACTGGGCAGTTTTTTCGAATGTTTGTTTCTAGGAACATATTGAATACTTGTATTATAATAGTACATATACATCTATGTACATTTGAATTGTTACGTTTCAGTATACCAGTTATTGTCTGAAGGTTGCCCTTACCCCCATTTACAGCTAAACGTATTAGCCTGGATCAGAAGGAACCCAGTTGACCCTCAGTAACCAGTCCTTTGTTCCCTGTAGGCGAGTGTGTGTATTATGTTGAAGACTTGCATTTACAAGATTTTTAACGACTTTTCAATAAAACAATACATGTTTATCACAATATGAGTGTCTCTTGTATGTTCTGGGTGCGTCTTTCCGATAGCTTGTGTCTCGTGTAAAGGCCGCAGCTCAGTTTCCCTTAAAATACCCTATGTGTTTAACAGGACGCAACTTACTGTGCCAAAGCTCGATGACACTGGTCGGAAGAGAAAGAAGCCGATTACACATGTTCTTTGAAAAATGAAAGGGAAAATGACTTGGTCAAAGGAGTTAAAGGGCGACATGCGGCCAAGTGTCATGAAATACCAGGGTTTTCTGTTGCAAGGGTACCTTGAACACCTGCATCACCCATAAAGACAGACAAACTCGCATCACCTGTAAAGTAAAATCATGACGTATGAACACTTGCATCACCCGTGAAGAGAGACATACCAGCATCACCTGTAAAGTAAAATCATGACGTATGAACACTTGCATCACCCGTGAAGAGAGACATACCAGCATCACCTGTAAAGTAAAATCATGACGTATGAACACTTGCATCACCCGTGAAGAGACATACCAGCATCACCTGTAAAGTAAAATCATGACGTATGAACACTTGCATCACCTGTAAAGAGAGACATACCAGCATCACCTGTAAAGTAAAATCATGACGTATGAGCACTTGCATCACCTGTAAAGAGCGACATACCAGCATCACCATACCAGCATCATGTGAAGTAAAATCATGACGTATGAACACTTGCATCACCTGTAACACCTGTAAATAAAATTCATGACGTATGAACACTTGCCTCACCCGTGAAGAGAGACATACCAGCATCACTGGTGTAGTAAGACCATATGAACACTTGCATCAGTCATTAAGAGAGACACATTTGCATCACTTGTAAAGTAAGATCATAACATATGGGGACTTGCATCATTTGCATAGACAGACTTTGGCACATCACTTGTAAGGTAAGGTCACGATGTTGGGTACTTTCCTCACTTGTAAAGAAAGACTTTAAGGTGTGACTATTTGCGTTACCCGTGAAGAAATATGTTTAATATTATGTTGAAGAAAAACCTTCATACATGGTCACTCGCATCAAGAAATGTTTTGACGTATGCATACATGAATCACGTGCCAAGAAAGACCTGACTTATCATTACGTTGTACATGAATCGCTCACCATAGAAAGATCTTCAAATATGACGCCTCGCATCACGTGTCAAACAAGACCTGACGTATCAATACTGTATCACCTGAAACAAGACCTGACGTATCAATACGTGTATCACCTGAAACAAGACCTGACGTATCAATACGTGTATCACCTGAAACAAGATCTGACGTATCAATACGTGTATCACCTGAAACAAGACCTGACGTATCAATACGTGTATCACCTGAAACAAGACCTGACGTATCAATACGTGTATCACCTGAAACAGAGAAATCACGTTGTATGAACCCATGAATAATTTGCGAAGAAATACGAGTACTTGCATCATATGTGAAGATGTTGACATAAATATTCTATTCTAATATTTGTGTAGACATCTAACAGCTGAGAATTATGAATGACACATGTGACGTACCCTTTCGGGAATAATATATATACCAATTATTGGAAATCCATTGTCAGATTGTATGTGCACCATTTGGTATATTGCGGCAAGCTCAGATATAGGGGCAGTGGGGTTAAAGGGCCGGGTTCGATTCCCCACATGGGTACAATGTGCGAAGCTAATTTCTAGTGTCCCAGAAATGGGCTTCACATATTGCACCCATGTGGGGAATCGAACCCGGTTATATTTTTGGCTACCCAACCACCCTAATCATCAAAACGGTGGTGGTATTTAATAGAGCAATGAAGAAATATAATGAAGTAATATCGTATACAGTATTAATCTTCGTGAATACATATAACATTCTTTGGTATTAGCCATCATATTAGGTTTACATCTTGAGTGCTCTGCCGTGATATTGCTGGAATATCGCTAAAAGCGGCGTGACGAGCGAACGCTTTAACCACTAAGCTACCCGACCACCCCCGATGCACATAGAGAGCCGGACACCGGGTAAACTCACACCAAGGAAACTATTCACAGGTGCCTCGGGCATGTGTGATGCCCATGGCAGGTGTCCCCCGCCGTGATATCGCTGGAACAATTCATGTCCCGAAATGACACGAGTGTCCACGAAGAGCAACTACTTGTCTTTAAGGAAGTCCATGTCCGGTTGTCAGTAAGCGGACATGTCACAAACTGTTCACTTTGAAATTACACATCACGCCCCACAGACCGCTGGTATGTATTTTATTTGTCTCATATAGTTGCTTCATATTTACAGTTAATATACATATTGATATCATACTGATCGAAATTGCAAAATTTCATCGATAATAATCAGTCCGTTTAAATAAACAACACTTCATCCAGACAGTGCGACATCTTTTTCGCTGTACCCATTGTAATTTCCCCTGAAAGCGTCTAGGGAAAGTTTCCGCTTTTTGTTTCAGGTTTGTATGAATATTGGTGTCTGTAGATGATACTTGTGAGTAAGGCTGCAACAATTACCACTATCAACCTGGTCTGATGACAACATGTTTGGGAGACGTACCCCTCTCGCCATGACACAACCGAGTGTCAGCAATGGCGTGTCCTGCTGTGAGAAGCCAACACTTGTTAATGAGATCGAAGCCACGACTGTCACCGTTGAAAGCGACACAACTTACATTAACAGACTTACTCACAAAGGCAAGTAGTGTCCTTGTAGTGCATGAAGAAAAGAATTCATAGAATTGTAGTGATGCAGCTGTGTATTCACTTTCCCACATCATGAAGATCTCAAGGAGGGACTTCCTACTTCGGCCAGGGGAGCTGTTGTTGTTTGTTGGCAGTATTACAGCTAAATGACGGCGGTAGTTTCAAAATAATCAACAGCAAAACCTCTATCCTTAACAGCAAACAATGATTTGTGTTGTGAAGGATTACTGTAATGGACAAGAATATTTTTCTGGTAGACCCGTGAAGAACCAGGTTAGAATTTGTCTTCAGTAACCCATGCTTGTCGTAAGTGGCGACTAACGGCATCGAGTGGTCAGGCTCGCTGACTTGGTTGACACATGCCATCGTATCCCAATTGCGGAGATCGATGTTCATGATCACTGGATTGTCTGGTCCAGATTCGATTATTTACAGATCGCCGCCATATAGCTGGAATATTGCTGAGTGCTTTGTTAAACAACAAACGAACCATCTATTACATCAGTCACGAAAAGCAGCGATGCTCTGAGGCTTCATGACTCCATTAAAACATATTATCTGCATACATTCAATTTGAAATTATAAAGTCTAATGAGAAAAAGAAATAGACTTCACTCATAGTATCCATGTGGAGAATCGAACTTGGACCTACAGCGCGACGAGCAGACGCTTTAACCATTCGGCTACCACCTTCACGTTAAAAGATTCTTGAGTTAAGGCTAACCGCACAGTCAGCATCAGAAGGCCTATGTAAAGATCGGTCGGGGAGTAGCCCAGTGGTTAAAGAGTTGCTTCGTCTCGCCGAAGACCCAGGTTCGATTCTCCACATGGGTACAATGTCCCCTGCCGTGATATTGCTGGAATATTGCTAACTACGGGGTAAACCCCAACTCACTCACTCACTCACTCACTCACTCACTCACTCACTCATTCGTTCTGAATCGCCCGCCTCAGTCAAGGTGTAAACGTTGAGCTAGTCCGTCCTGAAAGAGACTCTCTGGGTTAATTTAAATGACAAAACAAAATATCTTTCTGTGTGCTCGCAGTGTTCAGGTATTTTGATGTGCGTTCTTGCTGAGTTGAAGACATACAATAATCCTGGTGGGCCAGTGACACCTGACGTGGTATTGACATGACGCACATATATAAATCATATTTCAATTATTAAAGGAGGCATTTTAAAATGCAGCAGGTGTTCAGCAGGTGAGTTGAGTTTCAGTCAGATCGTGTCCCACGCCCGGGGAGGACACCGGCATTATTTGTGTTGACAAAGGAGAGGCCACGAAGTTCTTGTGAATTTTCCTTCAGTGAAACGTAGCAAGTTTGCGATTTCACACATGTAAGGGCAGCATTTGTGTTTTCTGTTTCTCATCGCCCGACCGACCCTTCTAATTGTATTGCCGACAAAAAACAACAACAACAACAACAAAAACAAAAAACTTGAAACATTGACAATTATATTTCCGTGCTGGTTTTTTTATTCAGACTCACTGTCTACATGATGTAGAGTGCGATAGTAGTGTTCTGCATACACACTTGGCGTCATCACTTTATAATAGTGATTCATAGTCACATGTTCAGACTCTAGTAAATGGTGGGGTGTGTGGGGGGGGAGGTTGGTTTAAGCCTAATGGTTAAAGCGTTGGCTCGTCACGCCGAAGACCCGGGTTCGAATCCCCACATGGGTACAATGTGTGAAGCCCATTTCTGGTGTCCCCCGCCGTGATGTTGCTGGAATATTGCTGAAAGCGGCGTAAAACCAACCTCAGTCAGTCAGTCTAGTAAATGGTACAGTCGACTCTGCTTTTGGAAACGGACAGGGCTTTCTCGTTTCTTATACAGTGGTTGATTTGTATCTCGATGTTAGTGGGTTGCACTATTTTCACTGTCGTTGAGGGAATATAAATTGCATTTAACCCGGTTCGAGTTTCTCAAAAGTATGGGGAAAAGATTCAGCTGAATTTGGAAATGATTAATATGTTAGATTAATTACAACACAGAAAGAGGGAACTGATGCAAATTATATGCATCTATGTATGTAGGTATCAAACGTATGTCAAATACTGGTTGACACATGTCACCGTATCCCAATTGCGTAGATCGATGCTCATGTTGTTGATCACTGGATTGTCGGGTCCAATATGGCGGCGGTCTGTAAATAATCGAGTCTGAAACAGACAATCCAGTGATCAACATTATGAGCAACGTTCTACGCTTCTGGGATACGATGACATGTGTCAACCAAATCAACGAACCTGACCCCCCGATCCCGTTAGGCACCAATTCTAACCCCGATCTTCACGGGTTCTGGAGAGGAGGACCTTACTGTGTATTGCAAGAACATTACGTGAAGGTACGCGCTTGTGAACATTTCCTTGACTTTTCAGTCCGCGCTTGTGAACATTTCCTTGAACTCGCCAGCCATACCAGACGAATGATTCTCGTAAAGTATTATGCGTATGTTAGAACGAAAATAATGAAAATTATGAAAATATTTATGTTCATGGTTGGACTTTTTGTGCGCAGGTCGTAGCCAACCAGACAGCCCGTCTCAATTTGAAAACATCGTCCGTAAGTATGCAGTGGATGAGTGAGTGAGTTTGAGCCTCTTTCAACAGTATTATTGTTCAATCGCGGCCTGTCCTCTTGGTGTTGGAGGAAGGAGAATCAAGTCTTACACGTTTACCATTATGGTGAAATCCATGGTCCCGACAAACCAAGAAACATCATGGACAACACCAGGGTTGGAATACCAAGGGGCGCAACTCTGCATAGCGAATTGCGGTGTTCCAAACGACAAGGCCACCTCTGGCCTCACCCACAAAATATGATAAGTACTAGATTGATTTCGATTTTAGTATTTTACCTTGATATGTATATCTGCAAACAAAAACGAATGCATTTCAACAGAAACAATGACGATCTTAAAATTCCAGCAATATGACAGCGGGGGACACCAGAAATGGGCTTCATACGTTCTACGCATGTGGAGAATTGAACCCAGATCTTTAGCGGACGCTTTAACCTTTAGGCTACCCCCACCATCCCTTAATGCCGTGAGGGCGGTGGGGTAGCCTAATGGTTAAAGCGTTGGCTCGTCACGCCGAAGACCCGGGTTTGATTCCCCACATGGGCACAATGTTTGAAGCCCATTTCTGGTGTCCCCCGCCGTGATATTGCTGGAATATTGCTAAAAGCTGCGTAAAACTAAACTCGGTCAGTCAGTCAGCCTTAATGCGGTGAATCACGAACATCTGGCAAAGCCTCGTGCCTCCTCTGATCACCCTCTTTACTGTACTTCACTGTCACCCTTGTTATACAAAAGATATTTTAGTGAGAGTTATACCCCTTGTCTACCTACCCTGGGACTCTTAACGTTATTCACGTGAGTCAAGTCAGTTGTCACGTGACAAGGACTGCACCAGTCAGAACTTTTTAAAAAGTAAAAACTGACCAATTAAATTTTATGACAAGAAGTGTTAAATCATCATATTTCTTTTCCAAGTGAGCTTTTTCAACATTTCAGTTTCAACGTGGAAGCGTATCAAGCTCCTAGAGTCTAAACCGCATGTTTCAACTCGAGCTGAGCGATCAGCCCAGCACCTACTGAACCAAACTGGATTAGTTTTCATAGAAGGAAAGTCTGGCTCTGGTAAAACAACATTAGGGCTTCGGATCCTGTCACATACTGCAAAAGAATATGACAGGGTACCAGTGGTGTTATCAGCGTGGCAGCAATGGGATTGTATCCCCAAGGAACTCCCGAAGAAGGAAGAAGAACGTGAAAGCCCGAGTCGTCATAAATATGTAGTTTTGATTGACGACATTTACGGCGCTAGCAACAAAGATCCTAAACAAATAGAGAACTGTGAGAGATATTTTCATATGATGTGGCCCCAAGCCAAGTCTGGACATGTTTTGTTCGTCATGACTTCCAGAACAGAGATAGCTGCGTTGTGCCAGAGACAACTGGTGGAGTATGAAGTCACGAAGAATGCAAAGTTCATCAATCTCGACGATCGCAGGTATTCCCTTACCGAAAATGAGAAAAAGAAAATGCTTACACGAATATGCAACTTGAATGTTGGCGACTTTAAGCTGACTGAAATAGTCCGCGCGGATGCTTCCCTTGGGTTTCCCCAGTGTTGTGATTTTTATGCCAACAGCAGGGCGGCAAGGCAGAAAGGGGTCGACTTTTTCCACCATCCCCATGAGTTCATCATTGAGGAGATAGACAAAATGCAGGAATATGATGGTACAGGATACCTGGTCCTATTAACGGTCTTGATGAGCTCGGGCTGCTTGGAGGACAAACAAGCACAGGCAATCGATGGTCCTCTAAAATCTCTCATCAATTCGTTGAAAGAATGTTGTGTCAATGTACCACAAGAATTAACCCTTTATGACTTCCATGAAAAGGCTCAGTCTTTGTGTGGTGTGTATTTAAGCCACACCGGATGTGGGTATGGCTTTCAACATCAGTCTATCTTTGATTCTGTCTTTATCAGTATTTCAAGGAAGTATCTAGACATATGCATTGAGTCATGTCCTGCAAACATGCTAGTGGGGCTAGTTCGGACCCAGTCCGTAAAAGATTCATCCTCTGCAGACGAAGATACTTTACATGTAAGTCTGCCAAGAGAATACTTTGACCTACTTGCTGATCCCATTACTGACCTACTTCTGATAAGAGACTGTCCTGATGCTTGTATATTGAGTCACCCGTCACTACAAGATGAGGAATTTGTACAGCACTTAGTACAATCCTGGTCAGCAGAAACAATGATGACACTTTTATTTCAAGAACATACACCAACATCCATCTTTGTCCCACATCCACTGGAAGAAAAAGAAAATATACATCTTTTTACTTATAACACTATGCTGGCTGCTGTCCTTTTGAGAAAGCTGAACCGTGTATTAAAGCATGTCCTAGCAAGGGTAAACAGTTCTTCAAAATATGCATCAGTTTTCCTGGCATGTGCTATCTATATGAATGATAACAACTGCGTGAAGACGTTGCTTGAGTTGGGAGTAGTTCCTGATGACGATTGCTTCAGGTCTCTCTGCCATTCCCCGTCCATAGAAGACCGCTTAACTAGAGCAATCTTTGCCCGAGTTGGAACGGACATTGAAACTATGAATGATTATGATGGCTTGTTTGGCCTTGCCGTGATACGTGGAAATACCACATTGATTAAACTTATGATGTCAAAGCTTGATGGAAATGATGACAACCTGGACATGTTCGCTAAGTATCAGGAAATGTTGTTGTCTAAACTTGGAAGGAATGAATTTCGTTCAATACATGGAAACAAGGCCTGGAAGCTTGACAGTCACGTATCACGATATTGTGATATCATTTGTGTCTTGTATGAAACAGGCTGTACCACTGACATCAACTATCTAGTATGGTTGTCAGCTGCCCTTGAAGACCCAACCCTGCTCAGATATTTCCTACAACAACCGAATGTTAATCCGTTAAACAGGTACTTTATATCTGAGAAAAAGGTATGGAAGAAAACCACGTCTCTGCAACAAGCAGCGGCCTACGGTGGAGCAGAGTGTGTTCAGGAAATCATTGACTTCTTCATCAACAGAGGCATTACACCATCCCAGTTCCTTGGTGAAACAACGCTAACTGATTCATATTTTGACAGAGACAGCGTCCTGGGTTTAACAGTTTGGCACGACAGGTATGAGAACATGAAGCGAGTCTTAGAGGCAGGGATTGATGGAAGGAGAAGAGACGCTGAAGGGGAGACACTTTTACACAAAGTTGCCCAGCGGATGCATCCTGAATTTGCCAAGTATCTTTTGGAATTAGGGATACCCGTGTCCGAGAGGGACAACGATGGTTGCACTGCCTTTGCGTCACTGTACTCACGGGGCATGGACCGACAATCTCTCTTTGGTACACAAAACACGCACGTTGGCTTAGTTAAGTTGCTAGTTGAATCGGGAAGTGATGTTAATGAATTGGACAGGTATGGACGGTCGTGTCTTCAAAAGGCTGCTGAACGCGGAGACGTTGAAGCTATTGACTATTTGTGTGAAAAGGGTGCGGATCTGAACCAGAAAGATACAGAAGGAAAATCAGTTTTACATTATGCAATAGACGAGTGTGATGTAGAGGTGTTGCGGTATCTTATCCAAAAGGGGGCCGATGTTCATGCAGTTGATGACGAGGGAAGGAATGCCATTCACTATGCTGCAGGATCCGCTGTTCAAACTGTGGAAAAAATCAAGTATTTTAAAGACATCCATGGGATACCTGTATCTTCTCTAGACAACGATGGTAGAACAGTTTTGTTCTATGCAACCGAGTCCCGTGATGAGGAGGTAGTTGAATTGTGTTTTGACATGGGTCTTGATCTAAACCACGCTGGCCGAGAAGGGGCCACTCCATTACATATTGCGGTAAAAAAGTTCTAACGATCTTGATACATCTCTTGTTGATTTCTTCATACAAAACGGTGCAGATCTGTGTGCAAAGGATACATGTGGGCGCACGCCGTTGCACTATGCAGCGAATGAAAGGGCTTGCGAAGAACTCGTGAAGATGCTTCTCGACAGTGGCGCGCCGACCCAAGAATGGAAGATGAAGATGGTCGCACTGCATTACATTATGCAGCGAGAGTGCTAGGTGGAGGAAAGAATCTGGAGATGATCCTTCAGAAAGATGTTGATTTCGATTTGCAGGATATATACGGTAAAACCCCATTACACTACGCGGTAGTAGCATATGGTGGGGACAATAACGTGAAGCTTCTCCTTGACAGAGGTGCAGATCCTTGTGTTCGGAACAGAGATGGATGTACCCCATTTCACCTTTCAGCAAGTGTTGTAAGGTCCGAGCTCACCTTGACCCGGCTTTTGGAGAAAGGTGCACACATGAATGCAACTGACAGAGAAGGCAGAACCCCGTTGCACCGTGCTGCCAAAGGTGGCTGCAAGGACAATGTGAGGTTACTCATACAGAGAGGTGCCTGTGTCGCTGCAGAAGATGAAGAAGGTCGTTGCCCATTACATTATGCAGTAATGGAAGGTGGCGAGGAAAAGGTGAGGGTTCTCTTGAAGGAAGGGGCTGATGCTTGTGCGAGAGATAAATATGGCCGTACCCCATTACACATTGCCGCCAACCTAAGGCACTGTGACCCGAGGGTAAAGATACTCGTTACAAAGATACTCCTTGAGAAAGGCGCTGATCCTTCTCTACCAGACAGTGATGGTCTGACTCCAAAGGATTACGCCCGAGAATCAGGTATTCAGTGTTTCCTATGAGGTCATTTCTGCCCGCCACTGCATCAAAACACATATTTGTTCTGTGAAAAGAAAGGACATAACGAAAAGAAGAAACCAAAATGACATTTTCTTATTTACCATCCAGCATGTCCTGCGAACAAATATTTTTGGATGTAAAAATTGAGGTCAGATCATATTTTTCACAGTTTCTTCCTGGAATGAATTATTATTTTGTATAACTCCTCAGCTTCACATAGATTACAGAACGATTTGTCAATCTCATTACAAACCAACTTGTGAAATGTAGTACAGTGTATACCTATGGTGGAGAAATTGTGTCAAGTGACAGTGACTCTGTGATGTTCTATTCAATGAAACATTTTTAATGGAAAATATTACCTTGTTTCAAGAATTAATATATCTGATGCAGTTCCGTGGAATCATCCGATTGACATGACAGCGTAATGGAATCCAACAATGCAGTACTGTGGGGAATCCAGGATATGACATAAAACCTATATATGATGCATTGTTATCACATTAAACCTTTGAGTGAGTGAGTTTAGCTTTACGCTGCTTTCAGCAATATCACAGCAATATTTCGGCAGGGGACACCAGAAATGGGCTTCACACAGTGTACCACTTGGGAGGAACCAGTCTTCAGCATGATAAGCAAAAATTTCAACCACTAAGCGAGCGAGCGAGCGAGTTTGGTTTTACGCCGCTTTTAGCAATATTCCAGCAACATCAAGGCGGGGGACACCAGAAATGGGCTTCACACATTGTACCCATGTGGGGAATCGAACCTGGGTCTTCGGCGTGACGAGCCAACGCTTCAACCACTAAGCAACCCCACTGCCCTGTTATATAGTATGACCAGAAATTATTGAGAATTTTAGGAATATGTTTAATTGAATTTTTTCTAGTATAAACAACCTTGACCAGCTATCAAGTGCTTGGGTTCATTCAAGAGAGACTCCGTGAATCTTTTTTCATTAGTTTGTGAAGAGTTATCCCCCTTTGTTTACTTGCTAGCAGACGACATTTTCAGTGATCCTCAGTATGGATGATTTAGAGTAGAGGAAGTTGATTTTAGAGTATTATAACAATGACATCAGATCAGCTAAAGTGATTTAAAGTAGAACAGGCATCCCTGTCCACTGTTATTGTGTTTTGAAAATTATTGCAAATGGATATGGCACTGAGCACCAGAAATTATTAAGAATTTAAGATTGTAATTTTTTTTTAAATTTCACTCATTACTCACGTATTAAATGTGAATATTAGCAGAACATAACTCCAGATTCAAAGACAGGTGAACAGTTAGTATTTTGGGCAGCAATGCAGGCTTCAATGCGGCGGGGCATACTACTGAGCAAAGAAGTTAGAAAGTCGTGGTCCATGCTGTCCCAATATCGGACCACCTCTTCTTTCATTTCAGCAATATATGTCAGATTTTTCTTATTGACACTTTCCTTCATAAGTCCCCAAACATTTTCTATTGGATTTAGGTCAGAGCTATAGCTTGGCCAATCTAATAATTTTGGGTCCGAAACCAGGCCTGTGAATGCTTAGAACAATGTTTTGGGTCGTTGTCCTGCTGGAAAATCCAAAAATTTCCATAGAATACCCCACTCAGACACATGATACTGCCTCTGAGCCAACCAGTCCTTGTTATACCCGTTAATGCCGAGAGCCAGGCAGGGAACAACAAGTACCATATTTTAAACATCTTTTGGTATGACGTGGTAGGGGATCGAATGAGTGACCTTCCGCTCTCCGGGCAGACGCTCTAACCACTCCACCACGGAGGCGGTCCTCATCAACATGAAGTGTCATTGCGCATACATAATATATGGGATGGTGTTGGTGATGTTAGTGATCACAGAGGAAGAAAACTGAAAATGTTAAATTCCTTTTATTCCAAAAACATTCACCATTCTCTCACAAAATAAACAACACGCTGAATTCTGTAAAGAAGACCTCATTATCCACTATGTTGTCATCCTATATCAATTTCTCTGCTTTTCCTAACCTTGACCATGCTGACTTAAGCTGACAAATCTGTGACCTTTGAAAACAATACAAAGTGCAAAACACAAATACGAAAGAAAACAAATATACATTGTACATGTTTCTGCTTTAACAAAGAGAAAGGTCATAAAATTGCCTGGACATAACTGATGCCCTCAAACAATGTGTTGTAAAAAGAAGAATAAAACCGTTTGACACCTTTCAAAGGAAAACAAATCTATCTATTGAAGAAGAGAAAAAAACAACCAACCAAACATTTTATCTCTTAAAGTATCGCAGGTGCCCAAACTCCCCCGCCCCTCTTTTCTCTTTCTCTTTCCTCTTCTCCTCCTGTTATCTTTCAAATTATCTTAATGAATCGACAGTTTACATACCTACTTTCTGCTATCATATTCAGGGGTTCAATTTTTTTTTAAAAAGCCACTTGCCACAGGGCAAGTGACTTTAAGAAAGTAACTTGTCCTGACCAATTTTCAGCTTGTCCTGATTTCATGAAATAATCATGATGATGTAATTATGAAAGAATAAATCAACATGGTATTTGATGTTAATGCTTACTGGACTATTTATTGAAAAGATATAAATAGCAAAGAAAGATAACTCTACTTTATAATGATTGCGAAATTTAATAGCTACATTTTGAGCAGATATGAAATTAAATCCAAGTTTATTTGCAGGTTGAAACCATAAGTGGAAATTATCTAGTAGACCACGGACAAGTAAGATACCATTATTTCATTGCCCGAAATGAAACTTACTTGCCCCGGGCGTCGGGCGATGGGATTTTTGAACGCCTGCATATTATACGCTCATGCATTAATCCCAAACCTATGCATTCTTAACATACTTGCTACAACAATTAAAATACAGGTGCTCTATGAAAATACTGGCTGACATGTATGTCAAATGCATTAAATGTCTGTGCAGTATAATTATGTTAAATATTTCCACTTATGTATTGACTAATTCTAGCTTTAAGACATTTGTTAAAGCTGATTATAAAGTATTTCATTACCTCATTAGCATGTTTATAACTTTTACCAACTTTCTAGTTAGCTGTGTGTTATCTTATGACTAGTTAACATAAATATAAATATCACCTCAGTTTCAATGATACCATTTTTACATTCCATCACAAGAGTTCCAAAATTTATGGACATATAAATCTGTAGAGAGCGAATGATGTGATGAGATTTTATACACATTGCTACAAACATATGACACACACATTTGCTTAAGCCACTTTGCTCAGCCATGATTCAACATCAGACAGGTCAGCTTTAGAGTTATCTCCCTTGCCTTTGCAACTGCATTCTGCAAATGTGATCTTGAAAGGCTTTACATCCGAAAACTCAAAATCCTTATTTCTTTTGCCGAGATATGTGTTATTATTGGATGTGTTGTCGGTTCCTTGAAGAGCGGCAGACCTGGTCACTCTCAGAGTATTCCTGGAAGTAAAGTGTGAGTGAGTGAAATGGATGTAAGCCTCCTTGACAAGTGTTTCAGTTAAATCATGGTGTTTCAGCACAATTTAGGAAGACTGTGATATGGTAAATGTGCATAGTTCCAAATTACAATTAGAAGTATCCAATGAAAAGTTCCATGACCTCAACACAAAGCATGTTTATCTCCCGTAACCTTTAACTAAACACGAACCAAGCCAATGACCCTTAATCAATTAAAATAAAAATGGCTTCAAAATTGATATCATAATTACAGAAACCACCAGGACTCAAAACACATTAACCTCAAACCCCACCCAAAACACTGCACCCCCATCCACACCCGGAAAGCCACCCAAACACATCCAACCCAACCACCCCCATCCAAACACATGCTCCTCCACCAGGACCCCCACCCAAACCCCAGATGCTGCCCAACTTTCTCCAAATCTTTCATTCAACAAAGCCTAAGATAGAAGGATAAACTTCAAACTTACATCTCTTTTTCCAGTTGACCCTGGATGACCTTTGCCCCCTTTGCCAGGGTCATATCCTGTTTGTTACATAGAATCAAGATGGGTGGAGCCAGACTGGAGATGGTGTTGTCGCTGAGTGCCGTGTAAAGCTGTCTGTCAACAAAGGAACAACAAACATGAACGCTAATTTTCGACAACAATGGTTGACTGGAAATTATAAAGTTCTATGGAGGATGGAAAAAAAATTAATTCCTTAAATTTTGAGACATATTCCCCTCCCCAAAAACCTAAGTGTCAGACTGTCCTTAGAGATGGTGACAAATAAATTTGGTGGATGCTATCAAGTGAGGTTGCCATGGTTACCTGTAATTGCTACGTCAGTTAATTAATTTTTTACACAATGACAATTACAGACTTAAAATATAATCTCCTTTGTATTGACATTGACACTGAGTAGTACATGTTGTGAGACATAAAACTTGTAAACCTGTCTTTTAAAAAATGACTCCAACTCAAGTCTAAGTTGCTTCACTGTGAATTTAAGTATTGTTCTTGGTTGTAACTGGATTTTATTCTTTAATTTGTAGACTTACTTTTAAATAAAAAACTATATTCTGGGACTACATGTAATCTCCAGAAATCACCTCACAAAATCATATTGCATAAAGACAGGTTATTCCAGGGTTCGAAATACCCCATATATTAGTGTGCCATGGCACAGTAAATATTGAAATGGCATGGCTGAAAAATGTTCTCTGTGGCCTTTTGACACGCCTATTTGACACAATTTTCTAGACACATAACTCACATTCAGTCATTTAATCCCCAAAACAATTATTTTTTTCCAAACTAAATAATACCATACATATTTGAATGCTCATAAACCCATTTCTTTATTTAACAATAAATTTCAAATGATCATCATCATTGTCATTTATTCCAAAAACATGTGGGCACACTTCATTTCTGAAAGGCACACCTAAAATATTTGTCTGGTGCCCTTAGGCACACCTAGATAAAAAAATATTTCTATCCCTGTTATTCACTTACTCAGCCACCTCTTTTATCTCCTTCTGGAAAGTCAAGCTGTCGATGACGAAAATGATGGCCCTGGATAAACACAACACAGACATGTATGGGGGTGCAGACCAATCTCTTGTAACTGTACAGATTTAATACATAAATAACAGTATTAATCTACTGAATCTATTTCGACACAGACTGCTACCTACTGTCTACAGACTGTCAAACATGTATTAAAGGTCACATAAACCCTAGGGGGTACAAATACATAAATCACTAACTGGCATCGTTATAAATGAAACCCCGTCATTAAAACTACTCATTTCGACCTTTAATTGACTTAAATCGACCTTTTTGACAACAGTGCACAATTCTCACCCGCGAACGAAATTTCAACCAATCAGAGCGGCGCGCCTCTGTGACGTCATATGAGGAATAGCTTTGAGAGACGATGCAGAATTCATCTACATTTTAGGGGGTAAATTATCGTGTTTACAGGCTTGTATAAACCTGAAATCGTGACAATTGTTGTGGAAAATGAAAGCTATATGTACTCACAATCTACTGTCATTTAATTTTGTCTCCTGCTTTGCCTAGTTTCCGAGTTACAACTTGTTTTCATAGACGATTCTGTCAAAATCGATTGGTGTCGTTAGGCCCTATTTGTATAATGACTGATCCAAATTGATCCCATTTCTGTGTTGTTTTACCTCGATATTTAATCATGTCATGTAAAAATCTGTTTGTATTCTCAAAACAGTGTCGGCCCATAAGTTTTCACATGCAATACAGCAATTAATACTCCCTCGTTGTAACCCGTGTTAGGTGGTATAAACCTACACATGTTATTTGTCATCATTCACTTGATGGTCAGTTAATGAATTTATAACAGGTATAATTAGTGGTAACACACTTAGATTACCCGACAAAGGTTCCCATTTGGCATTTCTTGTGTCTGGAGTAAATATTCAACATTATAAACATCGATCAAAGGATTAACCGATAACACGCTGATTGATTAATTACTTTTATCTTACACAGCGGATTTGTCAAAAGGTAGTGTTTATGTATGTAGATTTACTAATCTATACTGAATACACTCTGTCGTGTCGGTGTCTGCGTAAAAACAACGTCCTTCTTTCAAAGGATTAACCGGCAATACATTGATTGATTGCCCATTATTGGCTAACTAAATTACTGTTTTTAAAGAAAGGCGGACATTATGCAATTAGTTGCCAGGTGTGCTATCTTGGGTGACCAATGAGACTATACACCAATACCTGAAAAGATTTATCACTTTTTCGTATATTAAACTGTTAAAAGACATCATTTGGAACAGTTTTGTGGATATTGATGGATACATTCCTCGAACAAGGTAATGGCCTGATATTGTTCCCATCGCCCGACCCCTAGGAGCAATTGACGACAAAGCAACGATTCGGCATGTCGTCGTTGATGTCGAGAAATCATCAAAATGATGAGCGTGCTACACATTTTCTATACAACTAACTGAAAATCGTTCCTCATATGACGTCACTGCAGTGCTCTGGCGACAGAGTTACGTAACCTGTCTGTGGTTTCGATGGCGGGCGAGAGGGAAGCAGGCGACTTTTTGGCCACTTTTAATCGCTCGGTATTAATTAACCACAAGTTTTTAAAGAATAAATTTGGTGTTCCGCATAAGACTAACCACAAATCTTTCATATGTAATGGTTAAAAGAGTAACAAAAAACAAAGTTTAGTGGTTCTTTAACATAATTATGTAAATGAATATGGTTTTAACGCCAATTTTGGCAATATTAAAGAAATGTCATGCAACATGTGATAAATCAACTTATATACTATAATAAATATGTTGGGTGTTTACTTCTTTGATTACTTGAAGAAGAACCAGAAAACAGTATACCATATACAGTATACCATGTACAGTATACCATGTACAGTATACCATATACAGTATACCATGTACAGTATACCATATACAGTATACCATATACAGTATACCATATACAGTATACCATATACAGTATACCATGTACAGTATACCATATACAGCATACCATATACAGCTAACTATATGTTTAACAAACATGCTCAATAAGAACTGGTTGCTTTGAATACACTGATTTTACACAATGCTGAGGTAGTGTAATCCTAAATATAACATATGTTAAACTGGTTGCTTGCTGCATATGTAGTCGAAATACATACACCAAACTACGGTTACCATGGTTATAAGGAACTGACTTTAGTTTTGTCTTTGAGTTTGTTATGCCTGTAGTTTACTATACATCATGTACATGTACCAAACAGGAATCATGTAAATCTATGTATCCAGTCATGAGAACACTTCAAAACAAACTAAATTGTTGTCTTAAGTAGTTTGACGTTGTGTCAACCGAGATACAGTCAAATCCCGATGAGTCGAATCTCTGGGGACCAAGTAATAAATTCGACTTATCGATGTATTCGAGACATAGGTATGTCTATGAGGGTAGAAAAATAGATGATCAAGTCCTAATTCTTCCGCCTAAGCATTTGTTTATCTAATGATTACCCTATCACTAATAGGGCACCTTATCAGTTCCAGTCTGATTAGCACAGACAGTGATTTCCGTAAAATCACTAATCTGCCTTTTGAACTCACCCCGTCAAAGGCGGAAAGGTGTGAGCCGCGCTGGTTTGTTAATTGGATCAGTTTGCTACACCAATCAACTTCTCATCAACTGACTTCGGCTTATGTATACAAGATTGCTGTTGTTTGAATCTCATGGGACCAAATTTTCTTCTCGAGTCATCGTGTGTATTTATGAGTCGAATTCGTGTAACCGGTATTCACATAATGACAACTATAACAGGGAATGGTCGGGACCGACAGGGACTTCGAGTTATGCATAATATTCGAGACACCCGGCATTCGACTCATCGGGATTTGACTGTATGTAGAAATACCTTGCAAGGCCCTTGTGTTCCTCCATTGTCTGGAACCGTAATCTCTCATGGCCAGGCAGATCAATCACTCTCAGACTTTTCTGAAAGCAAAGTTTTTGTAAAATATTTTCAGGTCACACAGGCAGACGGGTCTCTTAAGCTTGGTCTCTCCTTGCACACAATATTGTCTTTAAATGGAGAGTATTTGTGTTAAGTAATCAAAGAAGTGGTGGTGCGTGGTCCTGTGCACAGAGCTCAGGTCACGAATCAGTTGAAGTTAAGCAACGTCGAGCTCGGACAATCCTTGGATGGGTGACTGTGTTTGGCAGCTTGACCTGACAGTTTCTAGGACTTCAGTCCTGCCCCACAACGAAGCACATGTGATGCATGTGGTCTCACCTTAGGCAAGTGAGTTTGTTCCAATTGTCTCTGTTCACCCAGCAGAAAATGGGTACCCGGTTGGAAAAAGTCATGTGACTATAACCTTCTCACGCCTAACAGGCAGCTTGGGTTATCCGGGGTAATAAGAATCAGATTCTGATTAAGCGGCGCGAGCAATCACTTGGTGTTTGGCGCTACAGAAGATGACTTATTATATTCCAGCTATATTGCAGTGGTCTGTAAATAATAGAATCTGGACCAGACAATCCAGTGATCAACAGCATGAGCATCTAATGAGTGAGAGAATGAGTATTTCAGCTATGTAATAGTACATGAGTTCATACTTTGTGCAGATCACTGGAATATGTCAATAAGAAACTAGTATTTAACATGATTTAACATGGTCAGCCAGCTTTTAATCATGTCAACTGGACGTAAATACTACATCCTATATGCAAGATAGACCTTTTCATACAGCCTTGTTCCATCCTGCACAGCTTGCAAGCCATATCATTTACATCCATTCTCTCTTAAATATTCTGGGGTGGTGGGGTAGCCTAGTGGTAAAAGCATTCACTCGTCACGCTGAAGACCCGGGTTTGATTCCCCACATGGGTACAATGGGTGAAGCCCATTTCTGGTGTCCCCCGCCGCGATGTTGCTGGAATATTGCCAAAAGCAGCATAAAACCCAACTCACGCACTCACTCACTCTTAAATAATCTGCATCTAACAAAAACATGACCAAAGCGAGAGTGAGTGAATGAGTTTAGTTTTACGCCGCTTTTAACATTCCAGAAATATCACGACAGGGCACTCATAATGAAAAATCTAGTATTATGGCTAATACCAAAGAATGTTATATGTATTCACAATAACTAATACTGCATACAATATTATTTCATCACATGTTGTTTATAGCTCTAATAAATACCATCACCGTCTTGATGGGAACACTTCAACCACTTGGCTACCCCACTATATTGCATGACTAGAAGCATATACTTGAAGTATGTGTACTTACATTTGAGTCTGGTACAGTGTAGCTTCCAGAATTGGACTTGGTGGATGTGTACGTCTCCTTATATGTCTTGTACACAAGCTGTAAGAGTTAAAATAATATTTCATGTATTCATGTGTAAGTGCTGATCTGTTTAGCTTTTTGAGACATGAAAGGCTAAAGATGACAAAGTGATTCAGGCCTTCAAAATGTTTTACTCTGATGAAATCTACAAGTATTGGGAATGTTTGTTGTATTATCATCATACTCTGCAATATCCTAGCTATACCAGCTATACATGACAGTCTGCAAACAATCAAGACTGTAAATGACAAACAAGTGGCTGACATTATGAGCATCAAAATACTCAACTGCAATATGAAGACACCCATTAATCACCAGCAAACCTGACCACTGTTTGATGACCATTACGACATAAATGGCTAAACAACAATTCTAACCCAGATCTTCACTGGTAATGTACAAATGAACATAATGAGTGTCATAATCTTCGAGAAATCTGGAATTTGAATCCAAAAACATCAGATCCATGCACAACTAAGGGATGCAACTCTGTAGTTAATTCCATCGCTACTGACATCTCTATCGCCCCTCTTCATCTAGGGCCTTGTCAAAACAATCTAATATGGTGTCTTGACCAAAAACATTCTTTGAATACTTTACTCTAGTTGTATCATATATATTTTCACCGTCCCGATATTGATGACTGTTTTTGCCATCTGTACTGTTTCTCACTTCTTACAGAATGACTAGGCTTCATGTTTTCCTCAGTATTGCCAGTGTGCAAGTTACAGTGGTTATCATAAATGTTTTCTTTACACCCCCTTGTTCCCCACTTGTACAAAGCCTGAGTCGAATATAATTCTGTTCTGTAAACTCAGCTGATAGACAATATGATCTTGATGATAACAGTAAATGTACAAAACATTATGCTGAAGGCCAAATTCAGGCTAGTGGACTCAAGCATTTATGGCAAAGATAGTAATGGTGATTTATTTTGCATATCCTATGCAAGTCGACAGCTTATTTTGGAGACCTGCCTCTTAACCGTGTTAATTATTGTCTGTCACATAAGGAATCACTGTCATCATCTTACCCTTGAGAAAAGTAGGGTTTTTCCAGCATCACAAATACCAAGGAGTAGGACGCCACTTCTTTTGTTTTGTTTCCCACTAAGGAAGGCAAATATAACTGAAAAGGTGAACAATCAATCATCAATGCAACAATATGCAACATTCAAGCTAGAAACATCTACCAATCAGCTGAGATGACCATGATGATCATGTTTACACCAGCTGTTTGCAGAATGTACAGAGTACAGTCAAGTTGTAAAATTAAGATGTTATTCTTGTTATTATCTTGTTACTAGCTTACAGAAGCTACAGTGTCAAAATTGTTAATATTCTGACTTCAGAAAAACAGTTCAATGGAAATTCATAAAGTAGATAAATACTATTGGCATTAGTGGATACGCTTTAACATATCGTTGACTGGACTTTGGTTCTAGTCTTTATTAATTTATGTAGTATCAGGAAAATCGTTTAGAAATAAAAGAACAAATACATATATAGCGTTCCGTGTAACCAAACAAGGATACATAATGACACGAAACCAATACGCACAGACGAAATTAACATTTCAAACAGCTGATGGTAAGACTTCCGCCCGTATCCCCCCTAAATTTTAACATGGGGAAAATTTTCTTTGAGTCGCATGTTTAGAAGTTGGATATGTCTTTCGGTATGTTTAGATACAATTAAACTAACATTTTAAAACTCCTTATCAGATGAGGAATATATCATATTCAGGTGAGATGATTTGACTAGAATAAGGGGATACGGGCGGAAGTCTTTCCAATAAATTAATAGAAATTTGTCTTAACACATTTTTTGAGAACATGTCGATCTATCGGAAAACATATTGACAGGTTGGGGAAACCTACCGATCGGCCTGTAATAGGCCTAACGGAGTATTATAGGCCGTTCTGCCTATTTTGCTATAGGCTGATTGGCCTATAATTATGATATTTATCAAATTAATTTGAAGTGGTGCATTTCCGCATGAGGATACTAACATCATTCAAGCTTAAATGTCCTAAGGTTCTCATTCAAACCCTTTTTGAGAATTTTCATCACATAATAAAGGAGTTTGAAAATTGCTAATTAAATATAAGTCTATAATATTTTTGACAATTTTCACTGACAATTAATGACATAGAATATTCAGTTTTAGATTTCAAAAGGAAAATCTATGAAAAATTGTTGTCTTAATGGAACATCTTTTCCTGAACATGCTATAAATTTCCATTTTGTCCAAAATCTTATTTTTTTCAAGCTGAGGAGGTCGATTAACTATTCATCTCAATGATAAAATATGACCACTTCGTTCGGAAATTGATCATTTGTGAAATAATTAGAAAAATGTTCAAATATAGCCCGATCGGCCTATAGTAAAATAGGCAGAACGGCCTATAACATCCCGTTAGGCCTATTATAGGCCGATCGGTAGGTTTCCCCAACCTGATTGACTAAGTAAAATCCGAAACCAAAATATCGCCATATGGTTTGCCATATGGATGTATATTTCAGCATGGGTGACAGTTACGACAAAATGAATAAGAAAGAACATACCAAGGGTGAACAATCCTACTATGACTGCTACTAAGATACCGATGACTGTTGGATCACCGGCTTGAACACCATTTTTCACATAGGAGACAAACTCGTTCATGCCGTCGTTCGCCATGATGTGTCAACTCACTTCTAATTCTACTTCCGCTCTGATAAATAAACCGGATCAATCTAACCGGAAGAAACCATTTTCAACAAGTCAACACGCAATAAACTTGCCTCCGGCTGACGTGACTCGTTGTTCTGAAACTAATATTTGCCCAAAGGCTAACTAATCCAAGCTAAGACCTAAAGATGAGAGTAATAAAATGTGACATCAGACGTGACACCCTTTATAGTCTAGACTGGAATTTTATTTTGTGGGATAAAAAGGGACTAAGGGAATTTTGTCAAAACGGCCCAGTTAACTGGTCATCGACCTTTTCTGGTCAAAATGATTAATTTCTCCGGTAAAATGGCACACGTGTTTTGGCACAATTAAGCTGACAAATAAAGACACACTTCGTTTTGTAGGGTGGTTTTGGGGATGGGGTGATTCTAGTGCATTTTTCAATATTACGATCTATTCACACTATGAATGAGATACGCTTCACAATTCCAGATTGTAACTGAAGCCCCAAATCATTCTCTTCCAAGGGTTGAGTTTGAATATAACTATCAACATCCAGTTTGTCAACGAGGATGGGAAAAACTGCTTTGTTAATTTTCTCTCTGTGTAAGAGTACATATCTGTCACAATCAACGGCATAGGCCTATCTACCACATGTAGAACTTTCTCGAGATGTAGTGAGCCTGGAAGCTATCTAAGAGAGTACAAGATGCAATATCTTAGATCAGGTTAAGTTAGAGCTAATGACCACAATATATGTACTTTATGTTTCGAATGGGTTGGCCTGTATCTGATTATATGGAAGAATACGCAGTGCACCATTCCTTTTACACTCCTGGTGAGTGAGTGAGTGAGCGAGTACGTTTTTACGCCGCTTTTAACAATATTCAAGCAATATCACGGCAGAGCACTCAAGATGCAAAACCTAATATGATGGCTAATGCCAAAGAATGTCATATGTATTCACGAAGATTAATACTGCACACGATAATAATTAATACTTTCATCATATTTGTGAATTTTGTTCATTGCGCCACAAAATACCACCACCGTTTTGATGATTAGGGTGGTTGGGTAGCCTAGTGGTTAAAAGCACACCCCCCCCTAAATAAAAACAAACCCAACCCCAACAAAACCCCGGGTTCGATCTACCACATGGGCACAATGTGTGAAGCCCATTTCTGGTGTCCCCCGTCGGGATAAATTTGCTGGAATATCGCTAAAAGCGGCGTAAACGTAAGCTCACTGCTTAATAGTGTTATGTTGTAGTGTTGAGATGTCTTCATCGGAAACCTCTGTTCAGGGCTGTATAATCCGGTTATCTCCCAACTTTACCTCGAGAACGTGGTATTGTTTCTGTACTCACTTCATAAAACTTGGTATACAACTAAAGACATGGTGCTTTCATTTTATGTTTAGTGGTGAAGCATTGTCTGGAGAAAATGATGCTACACTCGAGTGGAACAGTAATTAGACTGGTTAGCTTGCGCTGCTCGCATACGACAGTTGCTGAGACGGACATTGTACGAGTAAAAGGTGAAATTCTTGAAAATGTCTTTTTCGTGAAGTCATTCAATGAAATAAGAAAGTATTTTGGCAGGAAAAGCCAAGTGACCTCAAGTTATTCTGGACGATAGCCTAGTGGTTAAATCATTTACACATCACGCCGAGGATGTTATCACTCATGGATCACAGGCAAATTGTAGCGCAAATAGGGTTGCGCAACAACGAGAACTTGACCAGTCTTCCTATATGCGAGCGAGGTCATTTTTCTCTTTGATGCGCATCCCTATTTGCGCTACAATTTGCCTGTGCATGGATACAATCATTCGTGACCAACTCGTGTTATTTCGGGACAAGCCGAATACTTGGAGATTACGGAAAGGATCGAGTGGTGACGAATGGGATACAATCTGCGAAGCCAGTTTCTGGTGTCCCATGCATTGAGATTACTAGAACCACGGAGACTATATCATGTTGTAGAGTATCCCTGCTAGAACATTGCAGAAGACGGCGACAAACCACACTCCCTCACGCACCCTGTACTTTCCATCTAATTTCATTACAAAATAGGCTTGCGCGTTCCATCTGGTATAATCTTCAGATTGCAGTCTTTTTGGGGGGGAGAATGTACGCATATTTATCTCTGAAAAGTGATGCGTATGGTGTAGGTGATCTTTAAGTGGTCAGCCATACATCATGTTTTCCCCTTGATGCATGTGCTGTTAGACATATAAGTTTAATCTACACCTGTCAAAGTCTATTAATATTTTTGTCATGAAATCTTACGTTACGACTAAGAGGTATTCAGTTTTCCTGCCAACACCAGAACCAACAGACCCAGTGAAACAGCACTGCGTATAGGTGTCTTCACAGGGATTCGAATCACTGTTTGGACAATAATTTTTTAAAAATAAAAAACTAGATTTTTGCAACCGTATATTGTTTTTATATGTTATGAGTAACTTATATGTCAAATTTGAACGAAATCGGTGAAGAAATGGATTTTTTAGAAAATTCTCCCGCTACACTCATTACATAAAATACACGTAAATTCTCCGCTACACTCATTACATAAAATACACGTGTATTTTTATGTAATGAGTGTAGCGGAGAATTTTCTAAAAAATCCATTTCTTCACCGATTTCGTTCAAATTTGACATATAAGTTACTCATAACATATAAAAACAATATACGGTTGCAAAAATCTAGATTTTTATTTTTAAAAATTATTGTGCAAACAGTGATTCGAACCCCTGTGGTTGTCCTGCTACAAATGGAACGTCTTTTTATCTTTTTCGTGAAACCCTAGTAGTCTCTTTCCCGTCAGTGCACATTTCGCTGCTGATATTATAGCCGGTTGTTAGCTATTCGATCTCCGGTGTTTCAATGTACAATGTTAAGTGTTTTCAGTGTTTATGAATTTATCTGTTTATTCATGCAAACTTGTCTGCTTGTCTGATGTTTCAATGTACACATTTTCTTGTCCAGAGTGATATTTTCTCAAGTTTTCTGTAATTTTTATTGAATCAAATTGATCAACGTTTGAAAATTCTTAATAAATAGGAGAAACTTTTACGAAGAAATTCAGAAAACAGTGCAAAACACGATAAATTGAAAAAACAACAACATTCACCATCTTTCAACACAACACGTGAAAATAACGCACACCCACTCCAATGGCATTGGATTCACAACAGACGCCTGAAATCGCTGCTTATTCCTAAAACGGGTGTAAAACTTGCTGGCGTCATGCTGAAGACCCGGGTCCCACTTCTTGTAATGTGTTCATTCTTGGTGGCCCCTTTCGTGAATGTAGGCTTTAAAGTAGCTTGTCTCAAGCAAGAGATCCCTCACAGAAATGTCGACCCGAGCCTTCTCCCCATGGTCAACGCAATTACTGTCAGGCCTCCTACCAACCCAAAGGCACTGTATGAAATAAGGCCCGTCCGACCGACCGAGACGGGTTTGATTTCAGAGGGACGGTCTAGATTTACAGCTCGCCAGCCCGATGATGGTCTGGTAAAAAAATATATGTTATATACATCTGAGACATATCTTGGTGTCTGTTCTGGTTAAATCCATTTTGGACTGGTAACATTTTGAAGTTACCAGCCCTGATGTCTGACTGGGGTTTTGGCTTATTTCATACAATGCCAAAGGTAACTGATGATCAAATGAATATGAAAAATGAAAACTTTGCGAAAACCTCGATCCATTGTGCCACCACTCATTATGTGTGCAGATACTTTCATTAAACATGGTAGCAGACTAGTGTCCGGCTAGGTTTAAGACACAGCTTTCCGGTTTATCAGTCTGCTTCAATATTTACAGCACATGGCAACATCTTACCTCTGAGATGGCAACTGTTGCGGCCTCGTTACAACCTTGTATAAAGGCCAACATTCATCTTTCTAAAATTGGACCATCCAAGCTACTCCCACTACCACTGAAGGGGTCGTTGTACTACAGATATGTACCCCAGGTACGTTTCTGTGTACAGAAATGTACACTAAACAAAGTCAAACTACAGAAACGCACCCGGTACCCTACACGACGGACGGGTATATATTTCGCAACCTCAAACTGATCCCGTATTCAGCTGATTACGAGTAATACTGTGCATCGTGAAATATTCCTTACGTATATATTTTGTATGCTCGTTTCCATCAAAAATTATCTATTACAACAGTACGACAGTTCCGATCAAGAAAACGATACAGTGCAGAATGGAATCGTCCTGGGGGACGTTGCTGTATTCTGATGTGGCTGGGGATCATTTCTGTATACCAAATACACAAAACGCCGCGAGGAGCCTGACATGGCATTACATATCAAGCTGAGGCTGTTAAGACCTTGACGTGTGATAACATATCCAATATTTCAAAAGCCAAGGCATGTTTGTGATAAACTTTATTAATTTATTAAACACGTTTTAAAACTTCTTTTAAACATCTTTTAAAACATATAAATATAAGTTTTCAACATAAGGGAACACAGGAATGGTTACTGGGGTAACTGGGTTCCTTCTTAGGTGCAATGATTGAACGAGATTCCATGCTGAAGAACATTAATGATTGAACGAGATTCCATGCTGAAGAACAGTAATGATTGAACGAGATTCCATGCTGAAGAACATTAATGATTGAACGAGATTCCATGCTGAAGAACATTACTGACTGAACAAGATTCCATGCTGAAGAACATTACTGAATGAACAAGATTCCATGCTGAAGAACATTACTGATGAGATTCCACACTCAAGGAAAAACATTACTGACTGAACAAGATTCCATGCTGAAGAACATTACTGAATGAATGAGATTCCACACTGAAGAACATTACTGAATGAATGAGATTCCACACTGAAGAACATTACTGATGAGATTCCACACTCAAGGAAAAATATTACTGACTGAACAAGATTCCATGCTGAAGATCATTACTGACTGAATGAGATTCCATGCTGAAGAACATTAATGACTGAATGAGATTCCATGCTGAAAAACATTACTGACTGAATGAGATTCCATGCTGAAGAACATTACTGACTGAACAAGATTCCATGCTGAAGAACAGTACTGAATGAATGAGATTCCACACTGAAGAACATTACTGATTGAGCGAGATTCCACACTGAAGAACATTACTGATTGAGCAAGATTCCACTATGATGTATACCAATGACTGAGCAAGATTCCATGCTGAAGAACATTAGTGATTGTGTGAGAATTAAATTACATCACTACAAAAGCAGTGAAATAAACAATAAAATAATGATGAGATTCCACACTCAAGGAAGAACATTACTGACTGAACAAGATTCCATGCTGAAGAACATTACTGATTGAGCAAGATTCCACACTGAAGAACATTACTGATTGAGCGAGATTCCACACTGAAGAACATTACTGACTGAGCGAGTTTCCACACTGAAGAACATTACTGAATAAATGAGATTCCACACTGAAGAACATTACTGACTGAACAAGATTCCATGCTGAAGAACATTACTGATTGAGCGAGATTCCATGCTGAAGAACATTACTGATTGAGCAAGATTCCACACTGAAGAACATTACTGAATGAATGAGATTCCACACTGAAGAACATTACTGAATGAACAAGATTCCATGCTGAAGAACATTACTGATTGTGCGAGAATTACATTACATCACTACAAAAACAGTGAAATAAACAATAAAATAATGATTGGTAATAATAACCAAACTACAATATGGAGTATGAGTGAGTGAGTGTATGTGAGTTAGTGAGTTTTGTTGGTTAAAACAACCATGTGTGACTCCTCTTTTCAGACAAAGAAATTATTCATTTCAAAGTACTCACTGTAGAACATATTTTCTTTCAAACAAACAACCCCAGACAGAACAGTAGTTCCCACCCATCCTACGACCACCACACCCCAAAACCGATTACAACAACCATTCCCATCCCAACACCCCCCGCTGTTTCCACTGCAGCCACCCTGATCCACACCTTATTCCCACACAAACCCCAGAAGCTCATTTAGTCTTAGGACTTCACAAGTTTCCCTTTTCTACAAGTAACTTGACAATATCCTCTTGATGAGATAGTACGGCATAATTTAATGCTGTGCGCCCTTCATTGTCAGAAATACATGGATCAGCCCCACCATCCAGAAGTAACTTCACACTCTCTTCACCCTGCGACATCACTGCAAGGTGTAGTGGAGTACAACCTGATTCATCCTGCACACCTGGATCAGCCCCTTTTTCCAGCAGCAGCTGTAGGGTCAGGCCAACACTCCCTGCCCTTGCCACATAATGTAAAGGGGTGCTACCATCATTGTCCACGGCATTGTGATCCGCCCCTGAGTTCAGAAGATGCTGCACAAGCTTCTCACAATGTCTCTGATTAGCAGCATAGTGTAATGGGGTTCTTCCATGTTTATCCTTCAGATGCGGATCAACACCTTTCTCAAGCAGGAACATCACAATGGATTCACAGCTGGGTCTCTTCTGTTGCCTGCACGCTGCATGGAGCAAGGTTGCATCCTCCATGTCTGTAGCATGAATATCCAAGCCTGCCTCAACAAGCATTTCCACTGCTTCCTCATCAGACTCTACAGCATAGAACAGGGCCGTTCTACCAGACCTGTCTGTCCCACTAGTCGCCCCGTTGTGGGCAGCTCTGAAGTATTGGAGTTTCTCTACTGTGTCTTTCCCTGACCATGCACTATAATGCATAACATTTCTGCCCCAGTCGTCCACTGCATCTACTTCAGCACCTTTGGCAATGAGGTATTTTGTTGTTTCTAAATCACAGTTTTCTGTTACCTGATGCAACACTGTTTTTCGCTCTTTGTATTTGAGATTCAGTTCTGCACCCTTATCACACAGGTATCTGACAGTCTGGATGTCACCAATCCTAGCTGCTTTCAGGATACAAGTGTTTCCATCAATATCAGACTCATTGACATCACTTCCTGCTTCCAGAAGAGCTCTGACAGTTCCAGTAGCCGATGAACAAAACTCGTTCCTGTAATACTGATCATCAGGGTATAGATACGTAAATGGTGTGGATCCTTTACCATCCGCTTCATTTACAGAAGCTCCGTGGTCCAAGAGGATGTTGACAGCATCCAAATTCATATCCCTAGCAGCTGCATGTAACAGCGTTTCTCCAAATGTATTCCGTCTGCTCACATCAGCTCCTTGAGTGATGAGGTACGTCATACAGTCATAATTACCATATGCCAATGCTAATTCAAGTGGACTGTCATCTTCGTCTACCAATCCATTCAAGCATTCATATATCGATATCCCTTTCTGTGTGGAATATTCAATGAGTTCATGCATGCACTCTGTACCACCAAATGCTGCTGCTTGTTGGACGGATGTGGTGTGTCTGTATAGAAGATCGGGACTTCTGAACCTCTTCAGAGGGTTGATATTCGGGTTCTGGAGGAAATATCTCAGGGCTGTCGCGTCTGGATGACAGGCTGACAGCCACACAAGGTAGCTGATGTCAGTATCACACCCTGTTGTAAACAAGGCAACAATGATATCAAAGTAGCACTTTTCCCCACTACCTGCATTCAAAGTGTGCTTTCCTTTCAAGCTTGTGCGTCCACTCGCATCCAGTAACATCACCAACTGGTTCTGGAACATGTCCATATGTTGTCCGCTTTGTTTCAGCTTTCGGACCAACAGTTGTACCAGATAGGTATTTCCATTCATAACAGCAAGACTGAACAAGTCCTCCAGATCAATCACACTTTCGATCTGGCTCTCAAGGTGCTGGTAAATATCATACGCTATGTTATTGTCACATTTTGAATGACACAGAGCCCTGAAACAGTCCACATCAGGTGTCACCCCCATCTGAATCAACTCACTGATGATGTCGTCATCCTGAACATAAATCGCACAGGCCAAATCAGTGGATGTAAACTTAGACCTGTCTCCCATTCTTGACAGCAGCTGTTTGACTGCATGTTTGTGTTTATTTAGGATGAAGGCGGTTGACAATTTACTGTATGTAAACATATGAATTTTGTTCCATAGCAACATCGGATGTGGAATGGAAACAGTTGTTGGTTTCAAATCCTGGAGTAACAGTTTTATTAGGAGCTCATCTGTCCATGTTTCCAAAAGAAGTTGCACAAAGTCCTCATGGTGAAACGAGGGATGGTTGAGAACCTGACTATCACCAGACACCAACAGGTTGGTTATACGACCTGCCAGCGAGGGGAAGCAGTGTTCAGGAAGACAAACAGTGTTAACAGTGTTGCCATCAGTGTCAGTTCTAACCAGCTCTATCAACATGTCAGAAGAACACACGTCTATACAAAAGCCTGGATACCTTTTGGCGAAGGTCATAAAGACAGCATCATGTACAGACTGATGCTGGAACGCGTAGCCAAGTCCAGTGCGGCGGAGGTACGTGCTGCACAACGAGTCTGCTTTGTCTTTAATATAGGAAAGAGACACATCGCCTGCCATGTGACAACACTCCTTCAAATTTGCTATAAGCGTTCCAATCTGGCATTTGATTGGATGGATCTGTCGCACATCTAACTCCCCTTTACACATCAAAGCTATCAGTAGGACCAGGTAACCAATACTGTCATTGACCTGTAGATTGTTTACCTCAGCAAGAATAAACTCGGTTGGTTGAAAGAAAAATGCAATCCCTTTCATTTGAGCTTCCTTGCAGCCTGTAAAAAACACACAACACTGAACAAATCCAAGTGATATCTCTACCTCATCTATCCTAACAAAATCATCTTCGCTGATATCAAGACCACATATTTTTTTCAACATGTTTCTTTTTTCATTGCTCGTTAAGGGGTACTTGTTGCCATCCATGTCCACACAGAGAGCTTTCTTCACGATGTCATATTTCTTCATCCTGTATTTACACAAGATGGCTATCTCGGACCTGGATGTAAGGATGCAGAAGATATCTCCCGATTCAACCTGAGGCCACATGATATCAAAATATCTTTCACACTCTCTGATTCGATCATTATTCAAGTTGTTTGAACCATATATGTCATCAATCAACACCACAAACTTTGTTTTGTTAAATGTCTTTGGGATGAAATCCCACTGTTGCCATTCAGATATATTAACTGGTTTTCTGCCTGTTTTCCTTGAAATGTGCGACAGCAGACGTAAGGCAAGCCTGGTTTTCCCGGAGCCAGATTTCCCTTTGATGAATATTGAACCGTACTGATGAAGAAGACGGAACGCTGTTCGAGCAGAACGAGTTGAAACATACGGCTTCGCTTCAGCTTCATGAATGAGTCCCAACGTTGAACCTAAAATTCAGTAAATTAAATTTTGTTAATATAGGTACTCCAATACAGCATATCATCCCAAACAACATTAATCTTGAACATAACCTCCTTGTTGCTAATCACCGCCCCTCATTTCCAACTAACATGCAGTTCAAAGTGGCATCAACCCTACCTCAGAGTAACAATAAGGCTGACATAAGGGACCATTCTTAATTTATGTCTAGAAGTGTGATGATGATTTAAGAGGGTCATCTAGTGTGTTCTGGGGGTCCATCCACTGTGTTCTGGGGAGGTATGGGGGTAATCCACTGTGTTCTGGGGAGGTATGGGGGTCATCCACTGTGTTCTGGGGTCCAGGTATGGGGGGCATCACTTTGTACACATGTACTAGGTGGGGTCAGCAATATTGTATATAAAATATTCAAAATGTATTATCGACGTATGTACACATAAAAAATATGCACGATACGGTAGGAAATGATTTGGAAAACGTAGCAGATACCCACCACAGTAATGGTGTACGGTCTTAGAATCATTTACAGGATGTATTTATCGGAATATGTATTGGTTTATTGTTTATTGACCTGCTTACACAAGAGTAGCAATGTTGTGGTGCATAAAAGAAACGAAACACAAGATTACTGATATGCCATTTAATTCCATTCAGTACTCTAAATGTACACTTTAGGTTTTCCAGTACTCCTATATTGAACAAATAAGGAGTACATACTCCTGATGTTGAAAAATTATCTGGAGCCCTGTACCCCACTAAAAGTCATGTACAAAATCAATGACCCCCTCTCCTCACTTTCCCATAATTGTTCAGCTGGCCCTTATCTGGAGCCCTGGGGGTTATTCACATAGTACATGCTTCTCCATAAAACTCATCAGCACCCCCTAGCCATAAATTATGAATGGTCCCTAAGACTTTCTATCAATGTGAGAGTTAGTTTTCAGTTTATTTGGCTCAAAAAAACATTGAACACTCCCAACAGAGATTGCAGCAAGCTGCAATGGTTTGACCCTTTCTTCAAGATGTGTAGAAAACAACCCAATCCATTAATTCACCTCAGATGATGAACACATATTGCCTGGATCCTATTCTAGACAGAATACCACAGTAGCACCTAAAAACAGATCAAACTGCAAAATATATCAGCAAAACTACTCATGTTAAGCCCATTCATTAATGTCAGGTAGGGATCATCCTCGATAATGGTATAAGTTACGATCACTCTCCACTATACCCTGGATGCATCTACGGCTTGGGGGGGCGATGATTTTATTACCTCCCTTGGCTGGATTTTTATCCAGTCAGGTGCCTACGCTGGAAAGTTGAGCGTACCAATCACTACTCACTTTCGCGTCTTAAATTATCTAACCATTTAAACTTGGCAACACAATTGATGCACTGGTACTCTGAAAAAAGTAGAAGGAGTTTTTTCATATATTCTTTTTAAAGTTTCAGATCCGGGAGTTTGTCTTTATTATTTCCCAAAAAATCTGAGTGGCACTGCGAACAAACCTTTGCGACTGCGGCCGCAATCTTTGTTGACACTGGCAAGCTCGGTTGTAATGGCGGCTTAGCTGATTGGCTATTGTGAGAATGCGGAGCCAGCCAAGGGAGGTAATAAAATCATCGCCCCAAGCCGTGGATGCCTCCAGGGTATAGTGGAGAGTGATCGTAACGTATACCCTGGAGATTATCGAGGGATGGGTCGGGATATACTTACTGACAAGGTTTTCAAATGGAGATGGACTGGACTGCTCAGTTCCTGGGGAAATAAACACAATGTTACTATTTTACAACAAATTGTTGCTGGGTCAAACATTAAATTGATTTTTTGTTACAGGGGTTGTGTGACTTGTTCCCTTTGTATGATTCAGGTAAACAGTTTCAATTCAAGCCTTGAAATGTTTTTAAGTACCATTTTTTCCTCAAACACATTTTCTAGATAGAGGATCAAGAACAAAGAAGAAAAGGAGGGTAACCTCAACCTCCAATGCTTGTTCACTCACTCACTCACTCACTCACTCACTCACTCATGCTCATCATGTTGAGATTAATATCTCAATACAGCAGCATGTATTTTCGGCGAATAACAAAGACCAAAAACACTAAATATTGTAGAAGAATTCAAAAACACACAATAGCAATTACATTGAAAGTCACACAGCACCATCTACCTTGATGTTCGATAGTGTTGATGACGGAAGTCTTGCTTCTGATGGCGACATCCCTCGCCTTGATGCTGTTTATCACCACGATGTCTTCACACCCTCTGATGTTGTTGACTGTGTGTGTACCATCTGCAAGGAAACAACCCCGCGGGGTATGGGTTACAAGGGTCTCAGAAGTCTACGCGGGTCGGGCTGGTGGTGTGGCTCGGTACCTACAGGCCGCCATCATACAGCTGGAATATTGCTCAGAGTGCCTTTAAACAGCAAACAAATATAAGGACCACAGGACCACAGTTTGTTCAGACATGTCCTATGAACCAGGTTCTTTCTGTCATTGCAAGGAAAGAGTCAAAGTGAGGTCAAGAGAAAGACTTTGGAACTAATCTTATTCACATGTACTTTTGAATTTAGCTAGATTTTCAAAATGTTCCTGACGTCTTCTTACATAAATATATAGACAAGGAACAGTCTCAAACCCGTTGGGTATCTCGTTCAAGAACATTTATTTTGCAAACACCTAGAAAAGTATATTCAACAAAGTGTTCTTTCTCCTGAAAACAGATTTTACCTATTTGTTTACATTCATGACTATATCATTTCATTCCTATATTTTGAATGAAACAGCACATACTAGTATGCAGAGTTTACTAGAGACCATCTTGAATTTGTAAACTTCTTACCAAGCGACATAAACGTGTTGACCGAAACATCCATGTCCTCCGGTTGACTCCGACCGGCATCAGCGCCGACACATGATGCATAGCTGTCTGGACACCAGGTGTTACAGCCAGGGGGGAGTGACTGTCTACCCCTTATTCCCTCTACATCGTGATGCGCCATTGGTTCTTCTTTGAGAGACATATTCTCTAATATGCAATCTCAGAAATTTTCGTCAGAATGTTTTTGGTCCGTAATTGTGCAAATGGCCTCCAGTTGTAATGCCAGATCATGCTATTTGAAACCTGTGATGTGAATTTTGGGTCATTTCTATCACTGTCATGTTTGCGTGTCACAACAGCCGTCCATGACCTCTTCTGGTTTGTGACAGGTGCTTGTGTTCAAGCAGGAGTGGGTCCAACGTCATCAGCAGGTTCCATCCTCTGACCGATTGTTTATGCAGTGGGGTGGCCCAGTGGTTGAAGCGTTTGGTTCCCGTGATAATACAGTCTGTCAAGCCCATCTTGGTATCCAAACCTTGATATTCCTGGAAAAGCATTAAATGTTCATATTCAGTTTAACAATCCATATCCTCAGGGGAGAATATATACTACTCACACTGCTAAGGATCACAAAAATCTTCAACTTTACTTAAACATAGATTTATAATTTGAAATTGTATCCATTTAAAACTAGATAAATAATGATATGGTAACCCCTCTTTAGGCAAACAGCCACATTAATCTAACCTTATGCACTTGATACATGAGTAACCATAGAAATGGTTTTCATGGCATCAATCAAACATTTTGCAAATCATGGAACGAGTGATTGACAAGTACACAACACCTGTGAATAGCAGGTATCGGATCCACAAGATGCAATGACATACTGAAACCTAGGATCCATGCTTACAATAAGCTTAGATATTTAAACCAAATTAGACCCCACATCAGAGTTTTCTGTTGAATCAATGATGTGATCCTTAGCAAAGTGTGAATAGTATTTTTTGTGAAAACATGTTCATTGCCATCTTATAGAATGTCTTAAAGCAGTGGGAGACCACCACCACACCCATCCACCCCACCCCACCCCTTCCCACCCCACCCCACCCCACCCCACCCTGCCCTGCCCTGCCAATTCCACAAAAACACGCATGCACACATGTCCATGCAAGCACACATATAACATGTGAATATACAATGGTTCGGCCCTTAAAATGGACCCTGTTAAGATAGAAACAACAAGTATTATGTACTCATGATTAATTTATTTGGATGAAAAGTAAACCAATCAATTTCGCTGCGAATGTTTCTGTCAGGAATGACAATGTTCAATGTGTATCTTTAAAGATATATAATCTTGCTTCCAGCAGCAGCCATACAGATACATGTAGTGTTCAGTTTAGTTTTCAGCTTCTGTGGTATTGAAAACAACACCCAAAACTTATTAGCCTCTGGGGCCATTAGGCCTACATTTCTTGCCACTAGCTAACGGGCACACATACTAGTTTTAAACCCCAGGAATATACACATGGTAAGAAATGAGTCGGTGTGGCATGGAAGACAACGTCACATGTCAAGATCCTGACAACACCCTGCAGGACCAAGGCAAGGCCTAACCTCACTGAGAGTTGTGATTGGATCCGACAGCCAAGGCGAGGTGCTGCCTCACCAAAGAGCCATGACTGTAAGGTGTAATGATGGTGTCCCACAGTCAAGATAAGACCCTGCCTCACTGTTAGGTGTCATGATGGTGTCCCACAGTCAAGATAAGACCCTGCCTCACTGTAAGGTGTCATGATGGTGTCCCGCAGTCAAGATAAGACCGTGTCTCACCATAAGGTGTCATGATGGTGTCCCACAGTCAAGATAAGACCCTGTCTCACAGTACGGTGTCATGATGGTGTCCCACAGTCAAGATAAGACCCTGCCTCACTGTAAGGTGTCATGATGGGGTCCCACAGTCAAGATAAGACCCTGCCTCACCGTAAGGTGTAATGATGGTGTCCCACAGTCAAGATAAGACCCTGCCTCACTGTAAGGTGTAATGATGGTGTCCCGCAGTCAAGATAAGACCAGGCCTCACTGTGAGGTGTCATGATGGTGTCCCACAGTCAAGATAAGGCCCTGCCTCACTGTAAGGTGTAATGATGGTGTCCCGTAGTCAAGATAAGGCCAGGCCTCACTGTGAGGTGTCATGATGGTGTCCCGCAGTCAAGATAAGGCCCTGCCTCACTGTAAGGTGTAATGATGGTGTCCCACAGTCAAGATAAGACCCTGCCTCACCATAAGGTGTAATGATGGTGTCCCGCAGTCAAGATAAGACCCTGCCTCACTGTAAGGTGTAATGATGGTGTCCCACAGTCAAGATAAGACCCTGCCTCACTGTAAGGTGTAATGATGGTGTCCCGCAGTCAAGATAAGACCCTGTCTCACCATAAGGTGTAATGATGGTGTCCCACAGTCAAGATAAGACCCTGCCTCACAGTACGGTGTCATGATGGTGTCCCACAGTCAAGATAAGACCCTGCCTCACTGTAAGGTGTCATGATGGTGTCCTGCAGTCAAGATAAGGCCTTCCCTCACTGTAAGGTGTAATGATGGTGTTCCACAGTCAAGATAAGACCCTGCCTCACCATAAGGTGTCATGATGGTGTCCCACAGTCAAGATAAGACCCTGCCTCACTGTAAGGTGTCATGATGGTGTCCCGCAGTCAAGATAAGACCCTGCCTCACCATAAGGTGTCATGATGGTGTGCTGCAGTCAAGATAAGACCCTGCCTCACTGTAAGGTGTCATGATGGTGTCCCACAGTCAAGATAAGACCAGGCCTCACAGTACGGTGTCATGATGGTGTCCCACAGTCAAGATAAGACCCTGACTCACTGTAAGGTGTCATGATGGTGACCTGCAGTCAAGATAAGACCCTGCCTCACTGTACGGTGTCATGATGGTGTCCCACATTCAAGATAAGGCCAGGCCTCACAGTACGGTGTCATGATGGTGTCCCACAGTCAAGATAAGACCCTGCCTCACTGTAAGGTGTAATGATGGTGTCCTGCAGTCAAGATAAGGCCAGGCCTCACCGTACGGTGTCATGATGGTGTCCCACAGTCAAGATAAGACCCTGCCTCACAGTACGGTGTCATGATGGTGTCCCGCAGTCAAGATAAGACCCTGCCCCACTGTAAGGTGTCATGATGGTGTCCCACAGTCAAGATAAGGCCCTGCCTCACTGTAAGGTGTCATGATGGTGTCCCACAGTCAAGATAAGACCCTGCCTCACTGTAAGGTGTCATGATGGTGTCCCACAGTCAAGATAAGACCCTGCCTCACTGTAAGGTGTCATGGTGGTGTCCCGCAGTCGAGATAAGGCCAGGCCTCACCGTACAGTGTCATGATGGTGTCCCACCCACAGTCAAGATAAGACCCTGCCCCACTGTAAGGTGTCATGATGGTGTCCCACAGTCAAGATAAGGCCCTGGCTCACAGTACGGTGTCATGATGGTGTCCCACATTCAAGATAAGGCCAGGCCTCACTGTAAGGTGTCATGATGGGGTCCCACAGTCAAGACAAGACCCTGCCTCACCATAAGGTGTCATGATGGTGTCCCGCAGTCAAGATAAGACCCTGCCTCACTGTACGGTGTCATGATGGTGTCCCGCATTCAAGATAAGGCCAGGCCTTACAGTACGGTGTCATGATGGTGTCCCACAGTCAAGATAAGACCCTGCCTCACGGTAAGGTGTAATGATGGTGTCCTGCAGTCAAGATAAGGCCAGGCCTCAGCGTACGGTGTCATGTTGGTGTCCCACAGTCAAGATAGGACCCTGCCTCACTGTAAGGTGTCATGATGGTGTCCCGCAGTCAAGATAAGGCCAGGCCTCACTGTAAGGTGTCATGATGGTGTCCCGCAGTCAAGATAAGGCCCTCCCTCACAGTAAGGTGTCATGATGGTGTCCCGCAGTCAGGATAAGGACCTGCCTCACTGTTAGATGTCATGATGGTGTCCCGCAGTCAAGATAAGGCCCTGCCTCACCGTAAGGTGTCATGATGGTGTCCAGCAGTCAAGATAAGGCCCTGTCTCACTGTAAGGTGTCATGATGGTGTCCCACAGTCAAGATAAGACCAGGCCTCACCGCACGGTGTCATGATGGTGTCCCGCAGTCAAGATAAGGCCAGGCCTCACTGTGAGGTGTCATGATGGTGTCCCGCAGTCAAGATAAGGCCCTGCCTCACCGTAAGGTGTAATGATGGTGTCCCACAGTCAAGATAAGACCCTGCCTCACCATAAGGTGTAATGATGGTGTCCCGCAGTCAAGATAAGACCCTGCCTCACCATAAGGTGTAATGATGGTGTCCCACAGTCAAGATAAGATCCTGCCTCACCCTAAGGTGTCATGATTGTGTCCCGCACTGGGCCGCAGTCAAGATAAGACCCTGCCTCACTGTAAGGTGTAATGATGGTGTCCCACAGTCAAGATAAGACCCTGCCTCACTGTAAGGTGTAATGATGGTGTCCTGTAGTCAAGATAAGACCCTGCCTCACCATAAGGTGTAATGATGGTGTGCTGCAGTCAAGATAAGGCCCTGCCTCACTGTAAGGTGTCATGATGGTGTCCCGCAGTCAAGATAAGACCCTGCCTCACTGTAAGGTGTCATGATGGTGTCCCGCAGTCAAGATAAGGCCCTGCCTCACAGTACGGTGTCATGATGGTGTCCCACAGTCAAGATAAGACCCTGCCCCACTGTAAGGTGTCATGATGGTGACCTGCAGTCAAGATAAGACCCTGCCTCACTGTAAGGTGTCATGATGGTGTCCCGCAGTCAAGATAAGACCAGGCCTCACCGCACGGTGTCATGATGGTGTCCCGTAGTCAAGATAAGGCCAGGCCTCACTGTTAGGTGTCATGATGGTGTCCCGCAGTCAAGATAAGGCCCTGCCTCACCGTAAGGTGTAATGATGGTGTCCCACAGTCAAGATAAGACCCTGCCTCACCATAAGGTGTAATGATGGTGTCCCGCAGTCAAGATAAGACCCTGCCTCACCATAAGGTGTAATGATGGTGTCCCACAGTCAAGATAAGACCAGGCCTCACCGCACGGTGTCATGATGGTGTCCCGCAGTCAAGATAAGGCCAGGCCTCACTGTGAGGTGTCATGATGGTGTCCCGCAGTCAAGATAAGTCCCACAGTCAAGATAAGACCCTGCCTCACCATAAGGTGTAATGATGGTGTCCCGCAGTCAAGATTAGACCCTGCCTCACCATAAGGTGTCATGGTGGTGTCCCGCAGTCAAGAAAAGCCCTTCACCGTGAGGTGTGATGCAGACATTTATCGTCACGACTTACGACTCTCCCTAAGACAGACATTGACAACACGCACCCGATGATGGTGGCAACCCGGAAGTAAATGTACTCAGTAGAGATAAAGTTTAGTGAAACTAAAGAAAAGACGTTATTTGAAAAGGTGTTGATCGATACTGGGAAATATATAGTTCCTACCTTTTAGTGGTTTTCTGTATTGCAACAAAAGGCCTTTGTTTTACCTACTGTTTCGTTGTTCTGGTCATGTCTCGGTCAACATTGGAAAACCCCAGGAAACTGGTTGGAGTTGTCTCCCTTGAAAGGCGTAGCGGAATACACGCAATTGCAATATTTAAACGCCTAATGTGTTTTAATCGTTGGCGTATGTCTGTTACATATAAATATAAAAAAATGCGAAACTGATATATGCTCTCGTAGCGCTCTTAACTTATGTAGATATAACATAATACATATGAGACATATGATATACAATGATAACAAATTCATTCATATATGCAGTAGACATGTATTGTATACCATCTGTATTACATGCATGAGACATAAATCATATAAATAATATGTGTATTATATACATATGACGTAAATGCAGGCGTGTGTGTACATGTCAATGGATAGATGGGCGGTGGGGTAGCCTAGTGGTTAAATCGTTGGCTCGTTACGCCGAAGACCCGGGATCGATTCCCCACATTGGTACAATGTGTGGAACCCATTTCCTGTGTCACCCGTCGTTATACTGCTGGACTATTGCTAAAAGCGGCGTAAAACCTAACTCACTCACTCACTCTGTCAAAAGAGTGACCAACACACAATCACAACTGTTTCCTAACGCTGGTATTTCTGCAGACCAACAACGGGAGAGGTAGGAGGGTTTACGATCAGCACTTTCTTGCTTTTGTTGTAGCTTTCGCAACGCTTTATATCTTATCACTACTACATTTGCAGTCTCTCACGTCAAGGCACTACTCCCTCCAACAAACTCATGACCGAAACCACATGTTCTGTCGGCGTCGCTGTATTGAAATGTTTAAATTAAGAAAGTATTACAGTGACATATATTTCTTGATACATTTTTACATGTTTCATATAATAATAATGGATATCCACCGACTGGTAGATGCTCAAGGCGCTACATAAACGCATACAATACATACAAAGTGGTCAGGCTGTTTGACTTGGTTGACACATGTCATCGGTTCCCAATTGCGGAGATCGTTGCTCATGCTGTTGATCACTGGATTTTCTGGTCCAGACTCGATTATTTACAGACCGCCGCCATATAGCTGGAATATTGTTGAGTGCGGCGTAAAACTTAACTCACTCACTCACTCACTGAACAGTAGTCAGTTGCATCACGGTGTTTAACCTTAATGATGGAGGAAAGCACTAAGCGATGCAGGTCACTCACTCACTCAATATATACAAATGGATATAATAGTTAAATAAGAATGCATTGAAATTGATGACTAAAAGACTGATTTTCGAAAAAGGCTTTTGGGAAAAGGATAGTTTTCACCTTAATTTTGAAAGTTTCCAATGTGGGAGACTGCTTTATATGGAGAGAGGGAGAATTCGACAAAGTAGGACGAGCGTATTGGAAAGACCTCTTGCCAAAGGAAGAAAGGAAAACTTTGGGATATTTGAGAACATTCTTAACAAAGGAAAGACCGTATATTTCAAGCTGCTGTGCACAGTGTGTCCCGTTTGTAGCATTGCTTGTCCAGCACACCAGCAGTCAGTTATATAACGTGTTCACGATAACCTTAACTTAATTAATCAAAGATAAAGTCAGTGAGCTGACGTTACCGGCTTTTCTTCTCTTGTACATCTCACAGTCAAGAGCAGATAGATACACCCTCCCTAGCAGGTGTGTGTTTGACAATCGACCAAGCTGTAATTAAAAATCAACTTTTGTTAAACAATATTGAGATTGTCATCTTTCTCATCTCTCCACCCCGTCCTCCTGTCGTAAATGCCATGGTCAAGCGCTGATAGATATTTAGTTACCAGCTGGTCCATGGGTGACCGTGGCTTCACTATAATTAAAATCAACTCTGGTTAGGCAATACCGAGATTATGTTCTTACCATCCGGTCCGCACTTTGACGCCATGGGGCAGATGCGTCATCTTGAAATTGTAACATCAGAGAAATTGTTAATAAACGTGTAGGTGTCCAAGGATCCTAGCTTGAATAAACTTGAGGACTCACAGCTCTCTCCTCTCTTGTCTCAAGGTAAGAAAACTTATTCTGTCTTAACTTCTCATTTCTTTTGTAATTATTGTCTATTTGAAGCACTTTATGGAATCCGCACCACATGACTGACTGACTGACTGAGTTTGGTTTTACGCCGCTTTTAGCAATATTCCAGCAACATCACGGCGGGGGACACCAGAAATGGGCTTCACACATTGTACCCATGTGGGGATTCGAACCCGGGTTTTCGGCGTGACGAGCCAACGCTTTAAACACTAAGCTACCCCACCACCCCCGCACCACATGAACTACATGCTAGTTCTGAATGACCGTATAATACTTAGACTCCATCCAGTAATGTTCCCTGGGTATTGTGTCGTCTTGTCCCGTAAGGTGGGCTGGCCTAGTGGTTAAAGCGTTCGCTCGTCACGCCGAAAACCCGCGTTCGAAACCTCACATGGGTACAACGCGTGAAGCCCTTTCTGCTGTCCCCCGCCGTGATTTTGCTGGAATATTGCAAAAAGCGGCGTACTCAGTCAGTCACTCACTCACTCACTCTCCTCAAGGGTCTTTAATGTTCAAACCAACAATTCTGTTCTATGTCCCGACATCTGTATGTATATCCCCGGTCCATGGATTAGTCCATTTAGTCTTATCCTTCAACGTGTTAGATAAGTAAACAGTTTAGATTCTCTTACAGTGAAGTAGCACACAGTAGATTAGTCACAAGATCAGTTCACAACTACGTCAAGCAATGTGGAAAGTATATGCAGGTCAGTTATTCCATATTTTCCGACAATCCGCCGATCAAATATTGTATGAGTAGATTAACCTCCCATACGCGCTCACAGAATAGGTTACAACAGCCAATCGTTCTGTAGTTTGATGTGTTATCACTATGTATAAGAATTTGATTATGTAAAATGTTCCATTCCTCATGTCGTTATATACGACACAGAACAGCTTAAACACGAATTGCTTTAACGTAGTCGTTCAAATATATTGTCCAAAAAAGAAACGCATGGGTGCATTTTAACGAATTTAATCTCTTAACTTTAAAGGGAGATAACACATCCAATTCTTGATCAGTTGCAGCCAAATCTCACAGTATAACTGACTGAGTTTGGTTTTACGCCGCTTTTAGCAATCAGCAATATCACGGCGGGGGACACCAGAAATGGGCTTCACTCATTGTACCCATGTGGGTATTCGAACCCGGGTCATCGGCGTGACGAGCCAACGCTTTAACCACTAGACTACCCCACCGCCCCCTCACAGTATAAAAGATCGAATGCCTGTTAACATGTATAGCTGATATAAGATTCAATACGTGAAGGCGTCTGTTCCCAGTTTGGCGTTGTCCTCAGTGTCTGTTGTGGCCACCATGATCCACCACTACTGCTCTGCACCGTCTCGGCATGGACTGCTGGAATATGGCTAAAAGCGGCGTAAACTAAACTCACTCACTCACTAAATAAGTCTTTGAATTCGACTATGTAGAAATCTGGCCCATTCCTCTTGCATTCCTCAGTGTCTGTTGTGAGCACCATGATCCACAACTACTGCTCTGCACCGTCCCGGCGTGGACTGCTGGAATATGGCTAAAAGCGGCGTAAACTATACTCACTCACTCACTCACTAAATAAGTCTTTGAATTCGACTATGTAGAAATCTGGCCCATTCCTCTTGCAATGCATGCGACAGTTGATCTAACGTCTGGGGCGCCGGTTGACGTTCACGTACGCGTCGGTCGAGGTCATCTCACTAATGCTCGATGGGGTTGAGGTCGGGCGATGTGGAAGGCCATGGAATTACTGTGATGTTCTCATTCCGAATACTGAATTTAAGATACTTAATAGTTCCATTTGCTGTGTGAGACCCTAACCCTTGATGGAACAACTCCCTGTGGCGGTCAATGATCGGAATCCTTAAGATTTCGCCTCCGTACCGAATTTATAACAGTTAAATTGCCCTGAATGCGCACAAAGTAAGATTTCTGCGTGTAGGAAATGGCTCCCCTCATCATGACCTTACCACCACCATATCGGTCAACCTGGTTGAAGTAATTCTTGGCAAAACGTTCATTTCGACGTTGATAGACACGTACTCTTCCGCCACGGCTCTGTGGCAGAATGCGTGACTCGTCACTGAACCAGACACGTTGCCAGTTTTGTAGATTTATTGCACCTCTGGACCCGTCGATGTAGTCCTCACAGCACAGGGCATGGTTCGTTGTGTAAACGACTGACAGTGTTCTGGTGAACATTGAGGTCATCGTACAACGGCAGATTGAGACAGCAGACAAATTCAGCCGTCAAACCCACTCAGATACCAGGGGCGGTGGGGTAGCCTAGAGGTTAAAGTGGTCGCTCGTCACGCCAAAGACCCGGGTTCGATTTCCCACATGGGTACAATGTGTGAAGCCCATTTCTGGTGTCCTCTGCCGTTATACTGCTGGAATATTGATAAAAGCGGTGTAAAACTAGACTCACTCACTCAGATACCGAGACGAATAGGTCCCTGACTCTGAGGGTGTGGGTTCGAATCCCGGATGTGACCCAACCTAACAAAAGTACTAGAATCTGTACTTTAATGAGAAAGTGTAATCCCAAATTATAACATGTCTTACATTTGACCACTTTCTAAATGGCATTGCGTATTCATAGCTTTCAGCCGTGCGAGCCATGCCAATTTACACTTCTCAGAGGTACACAAAGCGAATGGTCTAGACTACTACCACTCTATTTTGCACTGTCATAGTGATACCTGTGTATACAATTGTATTGCTTTGTGAACTTATTTAATTTTAAAGGACTGTTCATTACATTACATTTGTTTGTTGTTTGTTGGTTTCAAACCCGGTTCCTTTACGGACTGTATTGTGATTCCTTTGCAGGAAGTTTTATTTATTTTTATACAATTAATTTTATAATACAATCGTTAGTTGTAAAACATTTTGTGGTTAGTTGGTTTGACACCGACTTCTTTTAGGGAGATTTCTGGTTAATCTATTGTATTAACTTACACATTAACACGTTCAACCGTCCTTGTCATCTCTTCTGAACCTCAGATGCTGTCGACACACAGAGCGGCGTGCCTGACGTTGACGTGGAAGCAAACCGCGCTGCACAATTTCGTTTTGTAACACAGTGGGACGAAGGGCCAGTTTCAATATTGATTCCTGACGGCATTGACAGATTCTGGACAACTGAGGCTATTGAGGGGTATCAGGCAGAGGGCTGACAGTGTGGAATCTGTGCTGCAGGAGAACTTCAAAAACTGATCATCTGTTGCAGCCATCGTGATTGGTTATCATTGGATGCCTGTCTGCGTTAACGGTGTGGTTGGAACTCGTTACACACAGCATCACCAACAATGACAAAATTGTGAGTACCTTCTTATAATGTTGATACCTAACAGACGAATATCATGCCTTCTCTGTGTGCATGCGCACGTGCGTGCGTGTGCATGTGTGACAAATTTCATATGTCATCCTTTTGTCAACTTGTCTAGCATCAATAGTCATGGACTTTGAACTTTTTGAAGTTTCTTGGTTGTCGTGCAAAGAGGTAAAGTACATTTGAATTGAATTAACTTTATACATTTGTCACTTACTTGGGGAAACCCAAAAATACCCCCCTTCCCGCCAACTCAGTTTTGCGAAAGAGGTTAACTTAAAAAAGAAGAAGCATATCTGACAAGCCTATCACTGCTGCTCATATATCTCCGTGTCTTTTCAGCACCTTCCGGTTGATAATTACAATATCAGCGGTAGTAGTCGGACTTCCGGTAGTGTTGTATCACTATGGAACGGTTAATGTCATCGGGATGCAAGGGAGAACCAAATTACGTCACCAATTTCAGAAACAGAACAAGTGGAATCTTACAAACGACGTGATAAAAAACAAAACAGAAGAAACCTTTAATTCTCCCAAGACGATTCTCTGGTACTTTCCACCGAGGTATATACCCAAAAATATTACAAGCAAAGTTCCCTTACCTGCATGCCCAGAGTCGAACTGTTTCGTGACGCGAAATAGAACATTTCTTCCAGAAAGTGATGCTGTCATATTTAACTCACAGTATATCGAAGGTGCCCTTCCCCCTCGGAAACCAGGTCAGGTGTGGATCTTCCACAACAGCGACGTCCCATACGTGAGGGCCTACAGCACACCGTATTATAGAAAACCATGGTCTTCTTCTTTCAACTGGACTATGACTTTTAGACACGACTCGGACATATTTCGACCCTATGGAGTACTCAGAAGAAGACAAAACATCCCTGTCAAGAACTATACCAGCATTGTTGAGAAGAAGACTGGTCTTGTAGCATGGATGGTGAGTAATTGTGAAGACTGGAGCAAGAGACGTTCATACGTCAAGGAGCTGCAGAAGCACATCCAGGTTGATATTTATGGATTTTGTGGAAAGAGGGTTTTTAAGAGAGACAGAAATAAAGACTGGATGGCACATCTGAATGAAACGTACAAGTTTTATTTGGCATTTGAAAACAATTTCTGTCTTGATTATATCAGTGAGAAGTTCTTCAGTTACTTTAACCTTGACCTTGTGACGGTTGTTCGAGGAGGGGGAGACTACTCTCGTGATGCTCCGCCTAAAACTTACCTGAATGTGGATAATTTCAAGTCCCCCAAAGAACTGGCTGATTACTTGTGGTTCTTGAACAACAACACTGACAGATATATCGATATCCTTAAGCGCAAGGAACAGTATTATTATCAAAATGAGGAGTATCTTTTCTTTTTAGCAGGCTCGTGGTACCTGGAAAGTTATTACGAGCAGGAACCATTGTGTGAGTTGTGCAGGAGACTGAGAGATATCACACACCACAGGAAAACCATTCCTGATATTTTGCCATGGTGGAAAAGGGGGCTTTGTCGAAATCCTGCTACATATATGTAATATCTGGATAATCAGAATACGGACTTGTTATTGTTAGTTTAACAGCTTATAGATTCACAATTATAATCATTGGTCTATTATGTATACACATGGAAAGAAATATCGCAACACTTACGATGTTAACCCCCATATATCATTTATGTTTCTTTGTATGAGTATGCTGACCCACCATTGATTTTAAATATGCACATGCTACGATCAAAGGCGAGCATGAATATGTGCACCTGTCATTAAGCAAATATAAAGTTTCAGTAAACTGTTCTTACAACTCGATAACTTGAATTCGTTGTTAATGGGCAAATGTGGAGTCTTCTCAACTGCTGATGGCAAGTTATGTGTATGCGTAATGCCAACCACAGATGACAAGTTATTTGTATGCGGAAAGCATTGAAGGTCATTGTTAGAGATGTAGGCTATCATCCATCGACAAAACAGCAAACTAGGACCGTCAGCGTTTAAGTCGACCACATGTGACAGCTGCTAGGGAGGATACAGCCATTTTTAGACTTCATCCGTTCATATCATGTGGTGTGTTAAAAACAGAGTGGCATCCACATTGTCGATTGTCCAACAGAATGGTTCGAAATCGCCTAAACTCGGTCATGGAGCCAGGCGAGCTATCAGAGGTCCGTTGTTATCCCCAGAACACAAAGCAGCACCACTAGCATTTTGTCAAGGTTGACGTCACTGGGAGGGTCCACTGGTCGGACGAGAGTCAATTTCTGTTCACAATAAATGGCCGAGCTCGGGTTTAGTAACAGAAACACTATATATATGGACAACAGAATATCTTGGCCAGGTGTCATTGATGGTGTGGGTGCCTCTCACATGACTGTAAATTTGATCTTGTGACTACCAGACAAAATCTGAATGGACAACGACACTTCACTGACATCCTAGACACGGTTGTTGTACCATATCTGGATGATGCTTGGAGCCACATTCCCAAAACTGTGTCCAGTCGCCGGGTCTCTGTCGCCTCACATGTATCAACGCAATCGGTGGTCACATCCGAAATTGGTTTGGTTAACCGAGTGTTTTCACCATCCAACGTTTAAGGCTTTTCGTTCTGTATTATGCCACTAAATATGAAATATTGATCCGACAAATGACCAAATATTATTAACATTTACACTACTATATTTGATGCATTTTACCTCTGCCTTGTTCCATATTTATGTAGGCCGACAAGCCATGTCTTGGGTCACTGAGAGAAGTCACACACTGTCTCCCTTCGTCCTGTCACGTATTTCCTTTTAGCAACACATTCTCGGGACATCAAGCATGCCCACCGAGCAATTCATCTCACTAACATCAAACACGAACTTCTAAATATACATTGAAAGATAAAGTGATACATTTCTTTCCATATTGATACCTCTGTTAAACTGAGTCGATTGAAGGCTCCGATTACACCATGAGCATGTACATGGGAAGCATTGTCAAATAGCGCTGGCATCAGATGTTCGCGAATCCTGCCCAACCAGTGACACACTTGCACAGTTAAGTCAGGTGTTCTTCCGAAAAGAACATGAGAATATATCATATAATAATATCGTGCATGTAAAAAGGGACCAGCATTGAACATTTTTTAGTTATGGATGCATCAAATGGAAATGTCCTCAGCCTGGCCGAAATTAATCTCTTTAAAAACTTTACTAATGGCTTTCAAATGTTAACACCCTGATCCGTTGGTTGGTTGTTGTTTAACGCCACACTCAGCAGTATTCCAGCTATAGGGCCTGTAAATAATCGAGTCTGGACCAGACAATCCAGTGATCAACAGTATGAGCATCGATCTACGCAATTGGGATACGATGACATGTGTCAACCAAGTCAGCGAGCCTGACCATCCGATCCGTTAGTCGCCTCTTACGGCAAGCACGGGTTACTGAAGACCAATTCTAACCTGGATCTTCACGGGTGAGTGAGTGAGTGGGTGGGGTTAACACTCTGAATCTCTATTTCACGTTTATGCTCCCGTCTGAGCATAAAAATGACGATGTCATTTTACATTTGCTTTACATTGTCTTTTTGAAAACTTCACTCGTGCCTTCCATGTTATAACTCTGATAAAAGACACGTCTTGTTCTGGTTCAAGTTTGAGAATTAAAATCCTGAAGTAACTTTACAGTAGCAGAACAGTCACTTGCTTTGATTGCATATTGCAGGGGAGTAGAACCCTCCTTGTCTTCTACTCTCGGATCAGCGCCGTTCTGTAGGAGGATTTCCACCGTACGTTTACACCTTTTGTGCCTTGCTGCATAATGTAATGGCGTCAAGCCATCATTGTCTTGTAAATTAACGTCAGCTTCCCTCTCAATGAGTACCTCAACATACGCTTCATAGCCATACTGCTCAGCTGCATAGTGTAACGGAGTACAACCACCTGCATCACGTACTAGAGGGTCAGCGCCTCTATCTAAGAGCAGCTCCATTGGCCCTGTACCACAATACTGTTTTGCAGCGTAATGTAAGGGGGTACGCCCATGCATATCTCGTGTAGACAGACCAGCATCCTTCTGCAGCAGCACCTCCATACTTTCTTCACATCCCTTCTGTGTTGCATAATGCAAAGGAATATGACCTTCTTTGTCTTGAGTACAAGGATCCGCACCTTGGTCTAGAAACAATTCAACAGTGTCCTCACAGTCGCTTTCGTCAGCTGCACAGTGTAATGGGGTGCATCCTTGGTTGTTCCGTGCATTTAAATCGGCTCCTTTTTCCAGGAGCAGCCTGGTGGTATCTCCTCCATCACTCTCTCTTGCTGCAACATGTAAGGGTGTACAGCCATCTTTATCTCGGGCATCCAGATCAGCACCCTTTTCCAGAAGGATTTCAATGTTTTCTTCAACACCATCGTCCAATACTGCATAGTGTAGGGGAGTGCAGTTGTTGCAGTCTCTTGCATTTGGATCAGCACCTTTCTCGATCAGTAAATACAAATCTTGCCCCCTACCAGTTTGTTTGGCTAAATAGTGCAATGGAAAACACTCATTTTTATCTTGAAGGAATTGATCAGTACCCTTTTCTAACAGAAAATTCACAATGTATGAATCAATTACTTTATATGAAAATACTTCTGAGTGAGTTTGGGTCTTTCCGCATGCAATATGCAGGAGTGATGTTCCCTCGTTGTCTTGAGTATTGGTGTCCAATCCCATATCTACAAACAGTTCCACAACCTCCTCATCTCCAGACTCTACAGCATAGAACAAGACTGTCCTACCTAGACTATCCTCTACATGCACGGATATGTTATGGGTGTCCTTAAAGTAAATGATTTTCTCCAGAGGGTCCATTCTTGAACTTGCAGCAAAATGAATCACATTTCTTCCACCGCTGTCTATTGCTTCGACACTGGCACCTTTAGAAACAAGATATCTGATTGTGTCCAGATCACATTTGTCTATGGCGTTGTGCAACGGTGTTCTTCCTTCTGTGTCAGTCTGGTTTAGATTTGCACTTTTCTCACACAGATATCTCATAGTGTCCACATCTCCATACCTTGCGGCCTTATGGAGACAGGTCTCGCCATTTCTGTCCTTTTCGTTGACATCACTCCCTGCCTTGGTAAGGATTTGAACTGATTCCAAATAGGATTGTTGCAGGTCTTCTTTAAAGAAGAGATCCCCAAGTGCTTCATTGTAAAGATGCGTAAAAGCTGTGAAGCCCCATTTGTCCTTATCAGACACACATGCTCCTTTTTCTAGCAGTGTTTCCAAGGTTTCAAGATGCATTGCCTCAGCAGCTCGGTGAAGCAGTGTGCTCCCCAGATAATCCCTTTGTCTTACATCAGATTCTGACTTTATAAGGTGTTTTAGGCAATTAAAATTCTCATGCTTGAAAGCTTCGTCAAATGCATTTTCTCCTTCAAAATAGTCTGAATGAGATTGTGATCGATTCAGGAACTCTGCCGGAGATATGTCCTTCTCCTTGAAATATTTCAGGAGTTTCTGCACGTTGTCTTCGCCACCATACGCTGCTGCTTCCTGTAAGGCTGTAGTTTTCCTCTCATACTTGTAATCCCTGTAAGTCTTCAAAGGATTAACATCCGGCTGTGCAAGGAAGAATCTAAGAATTGCATCATCTGGGTGGCCTGCTGACAACCACACCAGATAACTTGTGTCACTGTGGCATCCTGTTGAAAACAATGATTGCACAACACCGAGATAACGAGAGGCGTCTTTGCCATGTCTCAAAGCAGGACTTCTTTCGGCAGGAGGTGTTCTGCCTAGATCCATCAGAAGTGTTTCCAAACACTTCTTGAACATCTTGGAGCTTTTATTTTCTTGCAGCTTGGCGACAAGCATATCTACTGCAGGAGAATGACCAGACATCACAGCAAGGCCGAACAGATCCCCGAGATCACTTATGCTTTCCAGCTTGTTCCACACATAAGAACGGATTGCGTCAGTTATGTTTTCTTCCATACATTCAGATTGACAGTACGCCCTTAAACAGCTCTCATCAGCAACTGTTCCCATCCTAAGCAGATCCAAAGCAGCACTTGTGTCGTCTGTGTATATAGCACATGCCAAGCAGTTAGGAAGGTCGAGTGGAACATTTGTGATTCGTGTTTTGACATAGTTGAAGACATTAGCAATCTTTTTCAGAACGACAGCAGAGAAGAGTGTACAGTATGAAAACAACTGCACTGTACCTTCTATCATAAATGGGTGTGGAGAGGTTACAGTTGTGGAGTTGTGTTCCTGTTTCAGAAGACTTGTCATCTTATCACCAGTCCATGTTTCTAACAGCTGGTGCACGAATTCCTCGTGGTGGAAAGAGGGGTGGCACAGAATATCAACATAGTCTTCAGACATAAGAAGCTCTGTAATTCGACCAGCAAATGCAGGAAAATACTGGTCTGACAGACACAACATACTGTCAGATGTGTCTGTGTCTGTTAAGCTAGTTCTAACTAACTCTACCAACATGTTCGTTGGACAAATGTCAATGCATATATCAGGATACCTCTTTGAAATGCTGACGAAAACGGCGTCAAACACAGACTGGTGCTGAAACTGATATCCATCGTCCGAGCAATGAAGGTACATGCCACACAGAGAGTCTGACTTCTTAGCTATGTCACAGAGTGTAAGACTGTCTGAGATATTGTTACAACATTCCCGGAGGTTGGCTATCAGTGGTTTTATTTGACATTTTAGAGGGTCAAGCTGTTCATTGCCTAAGTTCCCGCCAGTCATTAACACAAGCAGGAGGACCAGGTAGCCAGCACCGTCACATTCCTGTAGGATATCTACATCCTCCAGAATAAATTCATGAGGCTTTTCAAAAAAAGCAACCCCTTTCTTCTGTGCACCCTTACTATTTGCAAAATAGGTACAGCACTGGGGAAATCCAAGAGATATATCTATATCCACAATGTCATCCATATCCTTTTCATCTATTTTGCATATTGTTTTCAACATTTTCCTTTTCTCATTTGCTGTTAAGGAATGTTTGATTCCATCCAGGTTTAAAACATGTGCTTTCTTGATGAGTTCACACTTTTTCAACTGATGCTTACACAATGCAGATATTTCTGATCTTGATATAAATATGAACATTATGTGCCCGGTTAAAGCATGTGGCCACATCACATCAAAATATCTCTCACATGCTTCTACCTGTTGTGGATCAAGATTATTCGAGCCAAATATATCATCAAACAGCACAATATATCCCCCATTCAAATTGCTGTCATCATTGGATGAATTCCGGGGAATTAAATCCCACTGTTTCCATGACGACAATTTTACTGGTGTCCTTCCGGTTAACTTAGACATGTTGGACATAAGATGCAGCCCCAGCGTAGATTTTCCAGATCCAGACATTCCTTCTATGACGAGCACCTTGCATTGCTTGAGACTACGCATGGCGGACCTCCCGGCTCTGGTTGAGATGTACGGCTTTAAGGTGACGTTTGTGAGCAATAACCACGTTGAACCTAAAACATCGAATTGAGTGTTACTTTAAAACAAATATATAATTTGATATACCCTACCATCATAATCCAAAATGTATTTAAAGGCTTGTTGTTGTCTGATTTGATTTGGTTTGGTTTGGTTTTGATATAGTTTGTTTATCTGGTTTTTTCGTCTTGTTTTGTTTGTCTTTTGGTTTGTTTTTGGTTTTTGGAGGGGATCGGAGGGGGTGGGGTATTATTTCTGTATTGGGTCGGGGTGTCTCAGGATCCGCCACTGTGTTACCCGATTGTTTGTGTGCTCGGTGGCACATATGGACTTTCTTTTACCTTCCTCAGTTGTCATCGCCGTGTTATGTTTTAAGATATTGAGATTGTCATCGAAGAGGGACACTATGGCTGAATCCAATTTCCATGTTGTAATTGTCGCCCTATGTGAAACTCAGACATTCATCTGCCACATTAGGAACATTGCTGACACCAACATTCAGATACATACATGGCCTACATCCGTGCTCGTGGATTTCAACAACGTGGGCAACATCGGAGACCTGCATCACTTAGTGCTTTCCTCCATCATTAAGGTTAAACAGCGTGATGCAACTGACTACTGTTCAGTGAGTGAGTGAGTGAGTGAGTTTAGTTTTACGCCACACTCAGAAATATTCCAGCTATATGGCGGTGGTCTGTAAATATTCGAATCTGGACCAGACAATCCAGTGATCAACAGCATGAGCATCGATCTACACAATTGGGAACCGATGACATGTGTCAACCCAGTCAGCGTGCCTGACCACCCGATCCCGTTAGTCGCCTCTTACGACAAGCATGGGTTACTGAAGATTGATTCTAATCCGGATCTTGAGGGTCGACTACTGTTCAAAGCGGCGTTAAACCCAGCTCACTCACTCATACACTCTTGAGGGGCGGTGGGGTAGCCTAGTGGTTAAAGCGTCCGCTCGTCACACTCGTCACACTGTACATAATGTGTGAAGCCCATTACTGGTGTCCCCATCGTGATATTGCTGGAACATTGCTAAAAGCAGCGTAAAACCATACTCACTCACTCACTCACTCACTCTTGAAGACTCAAACCCTTATTCGTTTCTCAAGAACATTTCCCTGTTAAAACAACCATAGCTGTCTTCTTTGAAACAATGAATATTTAAATGAATTCTGTTCTGTCCTCTCGGATCTGGTGACACTGGTTTCAAAATATGTACATCGCTCAGTATGCGGAGTCACAGGTTTGATCGTAATAGCCCAGAAATACTCACCAACGATGTTTTCAAAGTGAGATGGGTGGGCCTCTGTAGTTCCATCTGTAGACACAAACAGGTTCAACATTTACAGGGCTAACCTCTCATTACGCTCTTACAAGCGAGATATGTTATTATAAAAGCACATAGTTATGTCTTCATACATATTTTTATCCGCGTAATCTCAAGAGAGGGAATTTATGGATAGAAATATATTTAAAAAACTAGCTACGTGCTTAAATAATAACGTCTCTCGTTTATGGGTGCGTAATGAGATGTCAACCCTGTAAATCTTTATCACAAAGGAAAGAAATTAAGAGTGTCAACTTTTTTACTTTACGATGAAGACGTAAGTCTATGCTACGAAGCGAAACCAACCATCATCCCACCCAATCATCCAATCATTAAGAGCATATTTTCACTGGAACCCAAAGTTTCATGCGTTTTCAAAAACACGTGGAATGAAATAATCTGCCTTTACAGGGCTAACATCTCATTATGCACTCACAAGCGAGAGAATTATTCTGGAATCGCGTCTTAGCTATGTTATTTCTATCAGTTTAATCACAAGGGAGAGAACTTCTAAACAGTCAAGAGTTACAGGGTGATCCGGTCTCTGTATGAAGATGTTGCTACCGCCTACACAACTAACCCCATACATGTCTTTTAAACTCGGGGCTGTGGGGTAGCTTAGTGGTTAAAGCGTCACGCTGAAGACCCGGGTTCGAATCCCAACATGGGTACAATGTGTGAGCCCATTTCAGGTGTCCCCCGCCGTGATGTTCCTGGAATATTGCTAAAAGCAGCCCAAAAATAAACTCACTCAGTCAGTCAGTCGGTCTTTTAAACTCGATTCTCAGCAATTTTGGCATGGTCATTGCTACCTGTTAACGGCAAAACATTTTCTCAGTTTATTCAAATGTGATGTGTGATAGGAGAACAGGCGTTAATACCCTTACATTCACCAGAACCCTGAAACCTGTGTTATGTTTCAGATTTGGCACAGTGTTTCGACAACCTAAAACCGTCACAGCTTGATTATTTACATGTCGACGTAATATAGTGTGTGAGTGAGTTTAGTTTTACGCCACGTTTAGCAATATTCCAGCAATATCACGGCGGGTGACACCAGAAATGGGCTTCACACATTGTACCCATGTCGGGAATCGAACCCGGGTCTTCGGTGTGACGAGCGAAAGCTTTATCCACTAAGCTACCTGCTGACGTTATAATATGTAGTATATTTCTGATTACGAAAAAAACAAACAAATAGTAAAACTGACATAATAAAACCACGGAAATAGATACATACCTTTGTATATGACTTTGTTGATATATGAAGTTTCAGAAGCGATGGTTGCAGTGTCGGATTGAATATCGTTTATTACCGTTGGTCTGTCACAGCTTGTGATATAATTGCTGACTGCAGATGTCGCCTCTGTTTGTGAAGTACCTGAAAGTATGTTTTGAGCGGCTTATTGATTTTAGCAACGATTTGAACAGAAAGTAAGTCATATCAGAAAGCGTCAGGTGGCAGCAGGAGGCCATGTCTAGCCCGGACCCCGGATCTCTTCATCTGTGAAACCTAAGAACATGGTGCTAAAAACACCATCATCAGAATCCTGACCAATCCACTAATGAATGGACCTAACATATCCCAAGGGTCAACACTTGAGAACCTTCTTTAAAAACATACCTAGCGTTCAAGGTGTTATGACAATACATCAGCCGACATGTTTAGCCCGCAAAGGCGTACCCAGGAAATAAATTAAGTGTAGGCATAAAAAAAAAAAAATCCAGAATAACATTTGACTTCATATGCGCTGTCCGATAATGATGTAAGCTACGCATGTTTGTTTACGGTCGTTGAATCTAGTTATAGAAGCTCTAGGTCTAAAGCACTACTGCTTTACGTGCAGCAAATCCTCTGCTGTCATAGAAGACAGTATTTCCAATTTTTTTATATATTGTGTTATTTTTCACCTCCTGATGTACCTGTGGTAGTTCCTCCTCTTGAAAGACCAAGTTGCTCCTGGACAGCTTCCGAATCCTGCCTACGATCTCTGCCACCAGGGACACATCCTGACGTATCTGGGATGATTCCAGTTCCTGACAGACCAAGGTGCTCCTGAACAGCTTTCTGCTCTGTATCACCAGGTCGTGTTCCGAACCAGCTTTCTTGTTCCGCGTCACATAACCGTTTGGGCCTTGTTGGAATAGAATCACTTGTGATTTCGTCCCGGTTGGTCCTCTTCTCCGTTGATCTGTCCATGATGGCTGCAAAATGACGATGTGACGTAAAACCCAACTGAACCCATGATGAAGCTACTTGTCAGCACATGCTAAAGTACACAGCCTTACCTTCATTGTGCAGGCTCTGAAGTACAGAAAGAGGCCATCGGTTGTACAAAGCGATCAGCACCAGTTACAGAAACTTGGTTCAGGACTTTGATCTATCTATATGAAAGGTCTGCGACTCAAGCAATTACAACATTCTATGTCATATTTGCGGACGAGCGAGTGTTGTTTTACACTGCAAACCGCTATGACAGCGTGTAAATAAAAGAGTTGACAAAGCAACGATTGGTGCCGTCGTGGTCGAGGTCATACACGGACAATCCGATCCTCATTTTAATCCCCTTAAACAACAATCTTGGTGTACTGGGGACATACGATATTAGCTCACATACTGTTCTTGTTGAGTTCCCTCTTCACAGTGTATTGTATACAAGCCGCACCATTCAATAGTCACTGTATTGTCATGCGCGTTCAGTGTTACTGCACATGTGAATAATCAATATATCACACACTAGAATATGTGATATATATCATGTGTTCAAAACATGTATTTATATTACTTACGTGCTAGTAAGTCCAAGTTTGTTTATCAGGTAATCATTACAAACGAACAGGACCCCATTCGTAACACGGAGGAAGTGTCGGCTACACGGATTTCCGCTGTGGCGTCATCACTGCCATAAATATATGTTGATGGTAGCTGTTGGCTGAAGATGTCGCCTCAAGGGCTATAGACGTGGGTGATCGGTACTTGGGACGTGTTTTGCGTTAAAGAGCACTCAAACACGACAAAAATCACAAGATACTAAAATCCTACTCTTATAGTAATTGTAAATAAAATCTCTTGTTGAGACGGTTGTCATGTCAGAAGAGAGCGATTGGGTAGACTAGTGGTCAAGGCGTCCGCTCGTCACGCTGAACATCCGAGTTCGATTCCAAACATGAGTACAATGTGTGAAGCCCATTTCTGGTGTCCCCCGTCGTGATATTGCTGAAATATTGCTAAAAGCGACGTAATGAAGCATATTTCAGTGACCGCGCATGAATACAGTGTTGATGTAGTGTCTAATTGTAAGCAACCGTGTTTGTTCACATTATCACCAAACATATCACAGTCAATTCCTTACCTGGTTATAAAGCAGACGATCCGTGAAGACCCCGGGATAGAATTGGTCTTCGACAAACAATGCTTGTTGCAAGAGGCGACTCGCGGGATCGGATGGTCACGCTCGCTGACTTACGTCATCGTGTCCCTATTGTGTAGATCGATGCCCATGCTGCGGATCACTGGTTTGTCCGGTCCAGTCACGATTATTTATAGACTGACACCATTAGCCTGGAATATTGCTGAGCCCGGCGTTAAACAACAAACAAATGTAAAGCAGACACTGAACCAAGGAAAGGAGATTTAAAAGTAGTTCCTGCTAGCGTCCCTCATTTGCATATTTTCCATTGTCCATTGTTGCGTGCCGGAAACCTATTATGGTGGTGTCGCGTATCACTTCTCGCTCTCCTCCATCTAGCCGCCAACTCACTCACCCACTCAAACACCCACCCAGCCACTCACTCACCCATTCACTCATCCGAAAAACTCAATCACCCATTTATTCACCATAACACTCACGCACCCAATCACTCACTTTGTACAATCAGGGATAGCCTTGCTCCAAGGCTGTAACGAATGCTGAGCCCATGGATGTATAGTAATTCTATCCTTTAAAGAGGCAAGTCTAGATAAGTGGACCACTAGTCTTGCTCCAAGGCTGTACTGAATGCTAGGCCCATGGATGTGAGGTAATTCTATCCTTAAAGAGGCAAGTCTAGATAAGTGGACCACTAGCCTTGCTCCAAGGCTGTGCTGAATGCTGAGCCCATAGATGTATAGTAATTCTATCCTTAAAGAGGCAAGTCTAGATAAGTGGGCCACTAGCCTTGCTCCAAGGCTGTACTGAATGCTGAGCCCATGGATGTATAGTAATTCTATCCTTAAAGAGGCAAGTCTAGATAAGCGGACCACTAGCCTTGCTCCAAGGCTGTACTGAATGCTGAGCCCATAGATGTATAGTAATTCTATCCTTAAAGAGGCAAGTCTAGATAAGTGGACCACTAGCCTTGCTCCAAGGCTGTACTGAATGCTGAGCCCATGGATGTATAGTAATTCTATCCTTAAAGAGGCAAGTCTAGATAAGTGGACCACTAGCCTTGCTCCAAGGCTGTACTGAATGCTAAACCCATGGATGTATAGTAATTCTATCCTTAAAGAGGCAAGTCTAGATAAGTGGACCACTAGCCTTGCTCCAAGGCTGTACTGAATGCTAGGCCCATGGATGTATAGTAATTCTATCCTTAAAGAGGCAAGTCTAGATAAGTGGACCACTAGCCTTGCTCCAAGGCTGTACTGAATGCTAAACCCATGGATGTATAGTAATTCTATCCTTAAAGAGGCAAGTCTAGATAAGTGGACCACTAGCCTTGCTCCAAGGCTGTACTGAATGCTGAGCCCATGGATGTGTAGTAATTCTATCCTTAAAGAGGCAAGTCTAGATAAGTGGACCACTAGCCTTGCTCCAAGGCTGTACTGAATGCTAGACCCATGGGTGTATAGTAATTCTATCCTTAAAGAGGCAAGTTTAGATAAGTGGACCACTAGTCTTGTTCCAAGGCTGTACTGAATGCTAGGCCCATGGATGTGAGGTAATTCTATCCATAAAGAGGCAAGTCTAGATAAGTGGACCACTAGCCTTGCTCCAAGGCTGTGCTGAATGCTGAGCCCATAGATGTATAGTAATTCTATCCTTAAAGAGGCAAGTCTAGATAAGTGGACCACTAGTCTTGCTCCAAGGCTGTACTGAATGCTAGGCCCATGGATGTGAGGTAATTCTATCCTTAAAGAGGCAAGTCTAGATAAGTGGACCACTAGCCTTGCTCCAAGGCTGTGCTGAATGCTGAGCCCATGGATGTATAGTAATTCTATCCTTAAAGAGGCAAGTCTAGATAAGCGGACCACTAGCCTTGCTTCCAAGGCTGTACTGAATGCTGAGCCCATAGATGTATAGTAATTCTATCCTTAAAGAGGCAAGTCTAGATAAGTGGACCACTAGCCTTGCTCCAAGGCTGTAACGAATGCTGAGCCCATGGATGTGAAGTAATTCTATCCTTAAAGAGGCAAGTCTAGATAAGTGGACCACTAGCCTTGCTCCAAGGCTGTACTGAATGCTAAACCCATGGATGTATAGTAATTCTATCCTTAAAGAGGCAAGTCTAGATAAGTGGACCACTAGCCTTGCTCCAAGGCTGTACTGAATGCTAGGCCCATGGATGTATAGTAATTCTATCCTTAAAGAGGCAAGTCTAGATAAGTGGACCACTAGCCTTGCTCCAAGGCTGTACTGAATGCTAAACCCATGGATGTATAGTAATTCTATCCTTAAAGAGGCAAGTCTAGATAAGTGGACCACTAGCCTTGCTCCAAGGCTGTACTGAATGCTGAGCCCATGGATGTGTAGTAATTCTATCCTTAAAGAGGCAAGTCTAGATAAGTGGACCACTAGCCTTGCTCCAAGGCTGTACTGAATGCTGAGCCCATGGGTGTATAGTAATTCTATCCTTTAAAGAGGCAAGTCTAGATAAGTGGACCACTAGCCTTGCTCCAAGGGTGTGCTGAATGCTGAGCCCATAGATGTATAGTAATTCTATCCTTAAAGAGGCAAGTCTAGATAAGTGGACCACTAGCCTTGCTCCAAGGCTGTACCAAATGCTGAGCCCATAGATGTATAGTAATTCTATCCTTAAAGAGGCAAGTCTAGATAAGCGGACAGTACAAGGACCGCAGTCTCATTCGTAACTACTCGCCTCTTTCCTTTACCTACAAGAACATTCGTCGCCACTCGCCTCTTTCCGTAACCTCGCTATTCGGCTTGTCTCGGAATAACACGAGTTGGTCACGAATGCTGCAAGAAGAAGCAGGCTTGCCGGAATGACACGAGTAGTTACGAATGCCCACCCAGTCTGTTACTCATTTTATGTTTTTTAGAAATTATCATTTTAAACTATTATTTTTTACCTAAGAGACTTGTGCAAGGCTAAACCAGTGACTTCACCTTTAACTACCCACGGTGCCCTGTTGCTTGAGCGCCTCTGATCATGACCCGCGCCTTCTCACTTGGAAATGTTCTTGTAATAACTACCTACATATTCACAGGTAAGTGTAATCAAGACTTGATTATTTACAGACCGCCGTCATACAGGTGGAATAAAGCTGAGTGCGGCGTTAAACAACAAACAAACAAACAAACACAGGTTAGTAAGTGTGTTGGAAATTGCATTATCTGTTGTATGATTAGATATTTTACAACGAAGTTGTTACCAAACCGATAAGATATGAGTCATATTACAAGTACTGCACATATACAGTATTGATACACCCCACTGCCTTTTGTCTTTAACACTATTCTTGTAGAGGTTTCCAAGAATATAATGTAGAGGGAGATGTAAGTATGTCGAACACACACACATGAGTACTCTCGTACTGTGTTTTCTGTATTGACCCTGTGAGGAGTTCCTTATGATTCCCATCATCCCCATGTCTCGTGTCTGTGTTGCCAGGAGGATGCCAGAACGGGAGCCTGGACCGATGTCCGACACAACTCAACAGAGGAGCGTACTTAAAGGTACAGCTCCTTCTCCGAAGGTTTTCAAAGAGGGTTACATGGAGAAGATGTGTGAGCGTGCGTGCGTCAATACGTGCGTGCGTGCATGCGTCTCTCACTTTAAACAAACTATATGAACGTCGGAGCTAATGATGACGTCCATACAGTTTGGCCCTTTCAGCATGAAGATGAAAGTCAATTTTTGTCATCTTAAATAGCACTATTTTATTATTTTTATACTTCGATGGATGTATTGCACAAGTTCCCCGGCCGCGCCATACCAAAAGACGTTAAAATATGGTACTTGTTGGTCCCTGCCTCAGGTGCCTGGCGCTCAGCATTAATGCGTACAAGGACTGGTCGGCTCGGAGTCAGTATAATGTGTCTGAGTGGGGTATTCATGCTTAACTGCGGCGGCATGGTATCTCAGTGAGCTAGCACTATAAAACCAGCTGAAATCTGGGCTAGTACAAGCAGCCACAGCCACACACGCATGCACGCATGCACGCACGCACGCACGCACGTATACACGTCATGTGAACGAAATATTCTTAAGTACGACGTGAAACCCTATTTCACATCACCGTATTGCACGATCTTTTGTTTACACCGACAGCCATGTGACAACCATGTGTGTCATGGAAAGGAATATTTCCTCAAACAAGATGTAAACATGAGTGTATGAATGCCCAACTTGCTCTACAGAAACTATTTTGTAGTTTGGTTACATCAAACAGATTCATATAATATCATCATCTGAAGGATAATTAAATTTCAGACCTAGCTCATTTACATGGAATATATGAGGTCAAAATGGCCGACACCATAAATGTGACGTGTGAGGTTGTACGTGTTACAATGATCAATTGGCCTCGCACTGAAAATTGACCATAAAGATCTGTCAAGTAGACACCATGTAAATTGTCAGTGTAATGTACACTGTCGGAGTTACTTGAATTTGTTTTTGTCTCTATGGAGGGCTGTATCGAATATATTTTTAAAGAGCATTCCACTACGACTTATACACTAAACACTGATTTTATCTCACTCGTGAGTTTAAATTCAACAAATAAAACTTTTGTGAGTTTATGATAGAAGTGTATTCAATATTGCAGTCTCGTAGAAGCTAGCTATCGGTATTTATAATCAAGTCTGACAACTGTCATAAATGAACGTTCTGCTGGAAAAGATGATGTACAGGATGTTGAGACGGTGCTAATGTGATGTAAACAGAATCCAAGACGACGCTGTAGTTGCGAATGGGTTCAAATGAAATATCATTTTGGAACATATAATAATAAAAAAGATGATTGAGGATGAGTACATATACAGATGTGCTTGTGTTTGTTTGATAGGCGTTCCGAGACCAGTGTTACGACTTCGTAACCTACGACGACAGAACGTGGAACACGGCGAAGACGTCGTGTGAAAGTCAAGGAGGAACCCTCGCGATCATCAAAGACCGACCAACGCAAGACTTCATTCTCGCCGCCATCCAAAGTTTGGGTTACTCGGAGAAAGGCGTGTGGATCGGCTTAACAGATTCCGAGAACGAGGGTATTTGGAAGTGGGTCAAAGGTCAGAGTTCATTTCGACGATAAGGCAAGGTGGGGGTCCGTTAGATGTGACAGCAACATATGATCGCGGGTTCGAATCCCAGATCAATCAGTTCATGTTTAACATGCTGGTGGGGTTTCTAATATACGCATCCCTTCACATGATGCCGACACGCGTGATATATCTATTGTTGGTACGGGTCTCTCTCAGTTCATCTCAAATCTAAAATAGACAAAATTGTTAACACTGCAAGTAAAATCGCTGGAGTCAGATTTGAATGTTTATCATCAATATATGAGCGGCAAATCGTGAATCAAGCTGTCAAAATCATATCTGACCCTACTCACTACTTAAATTCGGAATACAACATCCTCCCTTCAGGCCGCCGCTGCAAAGTTCCAATTGTGAAAACTAAGAGAGCCCGTACATCCTTTATTCCAAGTACCATATATCTCTTAAACAAATGTGAACATACCTAAATCAAAGAATTTATGTAAATATGGTTGGTATCTCTCCAATGTGTCAGTAGCTCTGCTGATGTAACACAAATTCCTGAAAAGGCATTAAAGTATTATTCTATTCTATTCTATTCTATTCTAGCTGAAGAGCTGATTATACTGTTGAAAGCGGCACGGAAATGCCAATAGCTGCATTCGAATTTTTGCTTCTCTGCGCCCTCCTACCGTGCTTGTAAATTGACTGCTCACTTTAATCTTTCCTTCCACAATAAGTTGATATTCTGTGACATTCCACAGATATTGTCTCTCACTGACTCAGTCATTCACACATTTCTGGAGTAGCCAGTTTAAGTAAACTTAGGCTCAGTATTATTCGTTACACTGCTATAATGTAAGGAATAATACTGAGCCTAAGTTTACTTGACTGCTGGGGTAGCCTAGTGGTTAAAGCGTTCGCTCTTAACGAAGACCCGCGTTCGATTCCCCACATGAGTACAATTTGTGAAGCCCATTTCTGGTTTCCTCCACCGTGATATTGCTGGAATATTGCCAAAAGCGGCGTAAAACAAAACTCACTCACTAACTCATTTCTGTTTTGCCAGTAAAGAATTTTAAGAATAGAAACTTGTTTTGAAACAAGAATCTAAGTGTCCCATCCTTAGCCATTCCCATCACCAGGATATCTAATAGTCGATCGCTTCCAAGCCGTATACTCCCGCGTGAGCGCTCATCTGATAGTGAACTACCTGAGGGAAGTTGATCAGTATCATAAATTGTAACTGTAAAATGTGACTATCATAAATTGTAACTGTGAAATGTGACCAACAAATTGCCTACCTTTAAATTTGGTGCTTTGACTTTTTCTGCTTTTAAATGACAATGTAATGAATATATGTTTTTGAAATAAAACTCATTCCGAGTATGTACTTAAAATGTTTATTAATGCAAACTTGTTCTCGTCACTATATGACTGGAATAATGCCGATGTGACGCAAAACCCAACTCAACTCAACTCCAAGCCATATAAAGCTGTTGAACACTGTGAATAACACATAAAGTCTCCGGGTATGATGGAAATCAGGATGTTGAGTTTGTCTCTCCAGCTGGTACAGTGTCCTACAGTAACTGGGAACCTGGCCATGGAGGAATACTGGGTTTCGCAGAAGACTGCGCTCTACTGCGATCTGTCGATGGAAAATGGATAGAACTTCCCTGCGGCGTTTTCTGGGATACGTACGGCTTCATTTGTCAATACGGTAGGGAGAGTTCATTGTGATCTGACAAGAACGACTTCCTATAATTTGTCAATACGGTAGGAACACTTCATTGTGATGTGACAAGGACGTCTTCTTGTCATTTGTCAGTACCGCAGGGAGACTTCATTGTCATGTGACAGAACGGCTTCTTATAATTTGTCAATACGGTAGGGAGACTTCATCATGAAGTGATAAGAGCGTCTTCTTGTCATTCAAAATGTGACAATACGGTAGTTGACTTCATTGTGATGTGACAAGAACAGCTTCTTGTCATTTGTTATCGCGATCAGAGGATTACCCCATATATCACATACATAATGCAGATGCTGTTTCAAACATCGCGGGGCGGTGGGGTAAATTAAAGCGTTCGCTCGTCACGCCGAAGACCCGGGTTCGATCACCCACATGGGTACAATGTGTGAAGCCCATTTCTGGTGACCCCCGCTGTGATGTTGCTGGAATATTGCTAAAGGCGGCGTGAAACTAAACTCACTCATTCAAATATATCGGCCGTACGTTGACATACAATATGATAAAACTTGATTAACTCAAGACCCATGAAGATCCGGGTTAGAATTGGTCTTCAGTAACCCATGCTTGTCGTGAGAGGATCGGATGGCCAGGCTCGCCGACTATAGGTTGACACAAGTTTCATCGTATCCCAACTGCGTAGATCGATGCTCATGCTGTTGACCACTGAATTGTCTGGTCCAGACTCGATAATTTACAGACCGCCGCCATATAGATGGAATATTGCTGAGTGCGGCGTAAAACTGAACTCACTCACTCACTATGTCGGGCATTCTTTTAAATACAAAACGAATGTAAAGGAGAAAATTGTTTGACCGAAGGACTTGAAGTATTAGCGCCTTCTGGTCGGGTTTTCGTATTTCATCGTTAGGGGGACGAGTCTTCTTTCAGGTTACGGAATGGGGCGAGTGGTGACGAATGACATGGAGATTACGGAAAGATGAGAATGGTTTTAAATGGTCCTGCTTTATGTTACAGATATGCTACCGACAACAACCAGCCTTCCGGGGATTCCGACAGTATGAAGCTCAATAGCTACTATTTGAGGCTAGAGATAAAGCGTTGCTGAGCCTCGGTGCTCACATGGTGATTAAACCTTGCAATAAGCATTCCCAAAACATGCAGTTTACGTGTCATTATTGATTACCGACTCCACACCGTTTATGACGTAATGATACAGCTGAGTTACAGACAAACCCAAAGATTCTGACCTGTGAAGTATCTGGGGCTCGAACCTATCAGTTCTGACTACAGTTCCTTTTGAGACCGATGAATTGCTCACTAACACAAAATCTGTGTAACAACTTTTTTATTCGGGTGTCCAAAATTATGAGACAAATCATCAGAGTTGGTCTGTCAATTTCATGTGAGGTGAGGTGAAATTGGATTTAACGTCGTGCTTGAGAATATTTCGCTCATATGACGACGTGCATGCGTGTGTGTGTGTGTGTGTATGTGCGGCTGCTTGTACTAGCCCAGACTTAAGCTGGTTTTATAGTGCTAGCCCACTGAGATACCATGCCGCAGTGAAGCATGGATACCCCACTCAGACACATTATACTGACTCCGAGCCGACCAGTCCTTGTTGTACCCATTAATGCCGAGCGCCAGCCAGGGACCAACAAGTACCATATTTTAACGTCTTTTGGTATGACGCGGTTGGGGATCGAACCCGCGACCTTCCGCTCTCCAAGCGAACGCTCTAACCACTACACCACGGAGGCGGTCGTCAGTTTCATGTGACTGTGCCAAATTTGGCTTTGGTGGAATTATTAGATTTTGAGTTAGTGAGCAATTCGTCTCAAATGAAATCAAACGGACTGTAGCAATAAAGGGCGCAACCCTACGTAACATTTAAATTGGGTTTTGAAGCATCTGTATCAATATTTCTGTTAAAGTGAGTGAGTGAGTTTAGTTTTACGCCGCACTCGGCAATATTCCATCTATATGAAGGCGGTCTGTAACTAATCGAATCTGGACCAGACAATCCAGTGATCATTAGCATGAGCATAGATCTGCGCAAATGGGAACCGATGACATGTGAACAACCAAGTCAGCGAGCCTGACCACCCGATCCCGTTAGTCGCCTCTTACGAAAAGCATGGGTTACTGAAGATCAATATTCTAATTTAACCCGGACCTTCACGGGTAATTTTTGTTAAATCAGGGTGTGTCAGGTTTGAGTTGGAGGGAAGCCTAACGTGATGCGGGTCAGGAGGAATGGTTGAGTTTAATCCATAAAAGTGAGTGAGTATATTTTTACGCCGCTTTAGCAATACTCCAACCAAATCACGGCAGGGGGACACCAGAAATTGGCTTCACACATTGTACTCATGTGGGGAATCGAACCCGGGTCTTCAGTATGACGAGCGAACGCTAAATAACAACTGGGCTACCCCACCACCCCTAATCCATAAAGGGGCCACTGGCATATTAGACAGGGTACATTGGTCAGTTCACCGACCATTACATGAGACTACTGAAGGAACCGAAACTGACGAAATCTGGACTTCATTTTCACCCGAGTTTCAATGGTCATTTAACAAACTTTCTGCACAAAAGGGGGGTGCGCACCCCTGCATGCACACACACACACACACACACACACACACACACACACACACACACACACACACACACACACACACACACACACACACACACACACACACACACACACACACACACACACACACACACACACACCCCCTCTCTGGATCCGCCTATGATTTAGGGCTTCAGCATTGCTGTACATAGGGAAAATAATGTGGTTCAGCAGACACCATATAATATTGTCTTTGGGTTCAGGGACTGTGGAAGTACAGAACCAGGCTGAACTCCAATGTACTCAAATGTGAAGACTGACGCTTATGATGTCAGTCATTGGATTGTCTGGTCCAGATTAGATTATAAACAGACCGCCGTCATAAAGCAGGAAAAATTGCTGAGTGCAGCGTTAAACAATAAACAAAAATACTTTTATTACATACATACTGTTTGTATGTCGTAATTCGTTTTTAACACCAAAGGCCCAATCATAAGCTACGTGCATAAAGTCACGCGCGCACGAGAAGAGCACGTGCGATACTGGCTTCCCGCGCGAAACTTGGACCTTGATGTGACAAGCTTGGCGCCATCTGAAATCCAATACCCTTTATACGTGCCCTTTCAAACAGTATCAGGGCAAAGGTTGCTAACATTTCTCTGGAAGTGCTTTGAAAATGAATGAAAGCCAGTGAGCATATTAACCGTTATTGTTAAGAGCAAGAATAAGAAATGTTAGTTTCAGTCAACATTGTGATTGAGTGAGTGAGTTAATATTTATCGTTACATCGGCAATATTTCAGCCATATCGTGACGAGAACAATCAGTTATCATATTGAAGATCAATAAATCTAGAAATTAAAAACCTGTTGACGATGAACAGTATAAATGCTAGAGTAACACAGATACGGTAAAACTAGCATGTAATCATAAACGAACAATACAATATAAAATCGGGCTATGGATCGCCAGCTACTGAAGGTAGATCACCATACTAGGAACCATGGGGACTTACATTACGTTTGCTACCTACATGCACCCTACCTACGTTTGCTACCTACATGCACCCTACCTGGATTTACGTCATACCTTCAGGTGTTGGCGATTGTTTAGCGAACTTGCCATACTTATTGTCATTCAAAGAACAAATATAGGGGTGTAGCTACCATAATAAAAAAAGCCCGGGCTTACACGTGATTATTGCTAAAAAGGCTGGGCAAGCCCTCAATGCTATCTAAATATAAAGCTTTGTAACCTACCGGGCTTACATGAAAAATATGGCTTGCTACGCTCCTGAAATATGCTATTAAAATTCAGAGAATGAAACAACCTTTGCATGAGATTGGACTTACGTACAATTATGGACAATTATTTTAAGCTACTTCAGCCCACTTTGAAGGTTTAGCGACCAACAATCATAGTTATTTACCCATTCTACCATATTATAGCATTAGTGAGTGCCATGAGGATGGGTTCCTGAGTGAGTGAGTGAATGCGTGTGTGTGAGTGAGATACGAAGGCTGTGACAAACTTATGCTTTAGATCATGAACACCAGTCCTCGCCTCAAAAGGGCGGTGAGGTAGCCTAGTGGTTAAAGCGTTCGCTCGTCACGGCGAAGGCCCGGGTTCGATTCCCCACTATGTGTGAAGCCCATTTCTGGTGTCACCCGCCGTGATGTTGCTGGAACTCATATTCACTCACGCCCTCCTCGCCTCAAGCAGGTTACACACTGTGACCAACCGATCAACAGTCCATCCTTCGCTGGCTGTTTAATCCCAGATTTGCGCTGATTATTATTGGCGTTTAGTGGATTGGTTGGGCTAGAATGCACTTAGGGTTAGGGTTAGGCACCCTTTACGATTCTTAGGGTTAGGCACCCTTTACAAGCCTTAGGGTTAGGGGTTCGGGTTAGGGTTAGAGAACCCCAGCAGCACTAATTAATCGGGAAAAAGTGCGCCCGGTAAAGTGCAGTACTCATCCAAGTTGCTCATCCAAGTCAGCGAGTCTGAACACCCGATCCCGTTAGTCGCCTCTTACGACAGGCATGGGTTGCTGAAGACCGATTCTAACCCAGTTCTTCACTGGTCCTACTGGCTTGTAAGCGCCACAGCCGTACATACGGGTTTCGAAAATACCCGATAGATATGACTCTAATGGACAGAGCCGCGATAGACGAAACCCCGGACTGAGTGAGTTGGTATGGTATAACGCCGCTTTTAGACATAAAATAAAACCCAGGTCTTCAGAGTGACGAGCGGACGCTTTGAACATCAGGCTTCCCTCCTGTGTTAAAAAACACAATAACACACAAACACAAACTGAATTATTCAACAAAAGTGTGACTTTTATTCAAAACATATTAAGTACATGAACACGGGGGGCTTTCACTTCTCGGTACAGCGAGAATTTATGTTGTGGCAAGAAGGCACGATTTAATCATAATTTTAGTCAGTAACAAATCAATATGCAACCGATTCAGAAAGTCCCTATCCAATCAAACAAATTTGTGATAATTTAACATGCATTTTCATTGGTCATATCACAGCTAACCTCTACCTAACATGCATTACCATTGGTTATAAAACAATGGGTGTATATAAGCCTACTAAAAGCAAGTTACAAAACCTGTGGTATATCTAATCACATATATGAATAACATCAAGATGTGTATATATTTCTTCTGTAAATAGCTAAATATGAAAGTTTAAATTTTAAAACTAGACTAATTATATAAAATGGTAACAATATTCCAGTTAAATTCAAATGAATGTAAGTATATAATTATGAGTAGATCATTGTATCATAACTTGATGAAGGTTTTGATAGCGTCACTGGTGCACGCATTTCTGGCGAATAAAATGCATCATGATTAAAGTAAACATGCAAGGTATAGTAATCAGCTGAAGGGCACAGAAAACATACAAATGTACATGGAATTGAAAATTGAAATACTCATTCATCCATCACAAAATCGTGCAAAAGTTTAAAAAAAAAGGTAATTTGAGGCTCCCCTCCCTTCTCCATCCTCGCTCCCCTCCCGCACCCGCACGCGCACCCCCAACTCCATAGTCCCCGGTTAGGCACCCTTTACGATCCTTAGGGTTAGGGGTTAGGGTTAGGGAACCCCAGGAGCGCTGAAAAAGTGCGCCCGGTAAAGTGCAGTACTCCCCATTACACTTATGATTAATATAAACTTCTTGTGGGGTTCCATATTATCATGTTTCAGTAGAAACAAAACAAAGGGTATAATTACGATCGTATCAATAACTGTTTCTGGGTATTCAACATAAATATCATTATAAATCCTGATTTCCACTGGTTCCTCGGGAAGTAATATGATATTCCTATTATGCTTTAGCGAGGACTTTGTAACAATAGCATGTCATGGCTGTTAAACGCAATGTCAATGTACAATTGCTAACTGGTGTCATGACATGGTCAAATAGTATTCAAAAGAATTGTATAAAAGAATATTGGCTTATACAGGGGCAATACCATGAAGAATAAAGATGCAAACACGTCTATAATATCAAACACAGGTGCATAATTGCAAATACAATACATGACGACACCATCAGTGTCAGAGCACCAAAATCTGAAACATTTGCTAGGGAATGTTCCTTTGAGTAAAACAGGTATATAAGAATACAAAATTAGGTCTTCACGGGTCTTACTGGCTTGTAAGCGCCACAGCCGTACATACGGGTATCCTATAGATATGGCACCAGTTGACAGAGTCGCGATAGACGGAACCCCGGACATGACGACAATATCAGTGTCCGAGCACCAAAATCTGAAATATTTGCGAAGGAATCATCCTTTGAGTAAAAAAAGTATATAAGAATAAAAAAAATAGGTCTCGTCAGATTTACAAGATTTACACTCGATGACAATAAAGATAAAATCGTATAAAAATAATCATTAACATGCTCGTATTTGAAAAGATCATGGCAGCGGCTATTCATAAACATTACGAGCATTACGGGAGGTTCGCTGTTGTCAGTATGTCAGCGCATCCAACACTCCAACTTCCCACAATAAATGACCGGTCCGAACACATGCGATTTTGTTTTCAAAGTAATGTTTTTTGTATCAATGATATTGACATCCAAGAGGACCTACCTGTCACTTAACCAGCTAGTTCAAATTTCCACAATGTGGGTTTCTACATCCGTAAAATTATTCCTTGAAGATGAACTGGTTCTTATAGATTTCACAAGCAGTAGTCAAACCAAATGTTTGTCCCAAAAGTACCTCAAAGTCCGTATTAAATCCGTAACCATGGTGACATCAATGGTCTGTCTCTTTTAGAATGTCGTTTTCCTGAAGCCGGAACTGGTCCGAGGGGTCTTGAATGTATCGGCAATGGACAGGGCAGTCCTGGATTGGGGGCAGTGACGGACGGTGTGGGCGTTATCCCCAGTGGCACTACACTTCGGACACACATACTTCCTCAATACTGGACATATTACCTTGCCTCTGTTGTCCTTCAGAACATGAGTAGAGTAATACTCAATTGTCTCGCCATTGCGTTGACAGAAAACACAAACTGTAGGACGGTTGAATTTTTCGGCCGTGTCTCTCATTTTCCTCTCCACGGCGTCCATTACCAATTTCTCCATCATTCCTGTCACGGTTGACGCTGCTGCGGAGACGTCGTGACGATGTAGGGAGCTTCGGAGATCTGCCGCAGACGACAAGACGTCTTCCCGATCATAATCAGTGCCAATGAAGTTTCGATCTTCAACTTCAAGACACGGGCTTGGGTTGAACCGTTCGGAATTAATGGGAGAAGTAGGCACAGGTCGGCTTTGTTTCTGAGGTAGAATCGGTCGGGTGAACTCGGGAATGTTAGGAAGGCAGAAGCTGTAGGTTGAGTCGCTGTCCCGACTGGCGCATGTGTCGTCACTGACGTCGGTCTCAACAGAAGACACGGAGGTTTTCCGGGGACGGTCACTGACCACTGATGGTGATTTCACAACCGTCCGTTCAGCTCCAACTTGCACTGGTGAAACTTTGCCCTCGAACTTAGATGGGTCTCCGCGACAAGAATTAGATTTCGTTTCTTCGGAGAAAACTAGACCAGAAAATCCAAGGTAGTCTTTGAAAGGGGAATAACCCGCCATGTCGGTGCGTGGAGTAGGGAACGTCGTTGAAGCGATGCACGTGGCTGAACAGCTGACGAGAGTAAAATTCTACCACCCCTTGTAGTAATGCGTAGTATTTTAGGCGAACCCATTTCAATCTTGGCAAGGGTGGTCAGGTGGTTGTTTAATTATTTACCATGACGTATGGTAAGTGCTAATTTCTTTTTAATTCAAACTTACTAGTACATTATTTATGCTCTTGAATATATGACAGACATCCTTAAATAATGGCAATATGTGACACTTCAGATAGGTTTCAGTTACCAACACCCCCTAAAGATTCCAGTGGGAAGATCTGGAATCACCTCCCCCTAAAAGCCTTCAGTTGTGACAAACCAATCAGATGACACTTGCCCAGAGAAGAGGGGGCATACAAGGGGAAGGGGGGGGGGGGCGCCATACAGGCATCTCCACCAAGAACTCATGTCTTCAACAACGGCCGGTATATACCGGGGTATGTGTACGCACGAGCAATTTGCTTTCATACGATGAGACGTTGGTGAATAATCACCGCTTGTTCCTTTACATCTGGATGACGCGGATATCGACAATGACATAAGTTTATTAGGATAAGAAAAACAGTGTTGCGGCGGTACATCAGTAACCCGCTTCCTCATTAACACAGTAGTTTATGAGGGTATATGACCGAGGGCTGAACTGTGTTTGTGTTGAGAAGGGACCGTTCATAATTATGGCGTGAGGTGTGGGTGTGATGATGATGATTTTAAGGGGGGTCACCCATTTTGTACTAGGGAGGTTGGGGGTGGGTCATCAATTTTGTACACACGTGTGTGTTGTGTTATTGTGTGGGGGGACAATTTTGTTCATTAAATTATTTTTAAAAATGATGCTTAAGAATTAGTGGGGGCATTCACATTATGCATTGTACATGCCTCTCCATAATCACTACTACTACTACTACTACTACTACTGCTGCTGCTGCTACACGGGCTCATCAAAGCCATTTGGTTTGCCTGTATATCTTGTCTGATATACCTGCACTAAATACATATTTAACGCATAGATGTTACTCGCCATATTCACCGGGCGGTGGGGTAGCCTAGTGGTTAAAGCGTCCACTCGTCACCCCGAAGACCCGGGTTCGATTCCCCACATGGGTACAATGTGTGAAGCCCATTTCTGGTGCTCCCCGCCGTGATAATGCTGGAATATTGCTAAAAGCGGCTTAAACCCATACTCACTCACGAACACTGACTGACTGAGTTTAGTTTTACGCCACTTTTAGCAATATTCCAGCAATATGAGAAGGGTGGATTTTGTCAATTTTTTAGTTAAGAAGAGGTGGATTTTGTCCGGGGTGGCAATTTTGGGGTGGATTTTGTCCGGGTGGATTTTGTCCGGTCACCACTAAATAACACCCCAACCTTCAAAGCCTTAGGTATATTTCTCATCAAAACCGGCCTTCTAGGTCGCATATAATCCCACATAACCAACCATTACGTGGGTATGTTTGGGGGGGAAATTTAGAATTCGTGAACTGGAATTTTGTCAGGGTTGAGAGAGGGGTGTCAGTATCACTTTATGGACAAACCATGCAAATAAGGAAGAGGGCGTGGTTAAGGGTAGTTTACATCAGTATAGGTAGTCAGTCTGTCATACAGACCCTGAAGCAAATATATCCAAGAATTCCCACGCAAGTCTAGAAAATGTGGCAAGTTTAGAAAATGAAGAAAGTCTCAGGGCTCCTTTTTGTTATATTTTTTTCACTATGAGACTTTTTTCTGTAAAATATGTTCATTTCAGAGACTAGTTGTTAGTCTACGGTATAGGCCGAGGCATATGTAACTAATATGATGACCACGCCGACAAAGTAGAAAGGCGCCCTTTAACTTCTAGACTACCATGTGTGTGTCTGTACCGTGTGATATAGACATGTATATTACATGTATATCCCACCTCCACAGACTCATCCTCACCGGGGCGTGATGCGGGGGTCTGTATATCTCATAATGTTAGTGTATATCCAGTATATAATTGTATATATAGTGCATAGTCTGTATATTGAGGGTACTAGCCTTTACTTACCGTCCGACCACGACCTTGAAAATGGTTGATGTTTCGGACTGTTACCAGTAATATGCCTTCAACTTGTCACCACTATTTCTTTGATTGCTGGACCGTCTCGGGCTGGGGTTTTGGCATGGGAGTCAAATGTTGGTTGGATGGAGTTCAAGATAATCGTTTGTCGTCACTGTAGTAGTCAGGCTGTCGAAGACGAAGTCCATTTCTTAGTTAGCTGTCTTTATTATTCTGATCTTCGGTATGATTTGTTTAGAAAATCTAGTATCTTAAACCACAATTTTGCTCAGTTATCAAACACTGAACAAGCTACATTCCTCTTACAAACAGACATTATTGTTAATCTACTGGCCGCTTTAGTTAGCCGTATGCATCGGCGTAAGCTATCATCTTTTTACTGTTGGCATTTTTGACATGTACATTCACGTGACACATAAATAAACTATTTTGTCTGTCTGTCACGCCGCTTTTAGCAATATTCCAGCAATATTACGGCGCGGGACATCCAGAAATGCGCTTCACACATTGTACCCATAGTCTGCAAACTATGCATGAAATTGGTATATCGCAAAACAAACATTTCTCACACCTTAACTCCTGCATTCATTGGGTTGTGTTGATTTGTTTAATCATTAATTATAATGCAATATGTCATTAATCATTTCTTGTTAATTTGTTATCATTTGTTTGATGATATTATTTTCTTATTCACTAATTACATTTTAATTCATATATTATTTAGGGTCATTATATTAAGTTTATGAAGCAATAACATTTTTCCATGTCATTAATCATTTCTTGTCTGTAATCTTATTTTCCCATTAATACATAAAGTGAGGGGCTTTTGGTTATTTTTCGTGGGGCTTTTGCCCAGAGGGGCTCTTGGTTAAGGGGCTTTTTGTCCTAGACTCGGGGATAGAGTGGCAGATGATAACGTCCAGTTCAAATGTGGGATATATACACTTTCATCTAGCACTAGCATGTACTCCCACATATTTTTGGTAAACCAGATTCTCTTTCATGTGACATCGTACAATACAGCATTATTAACCATGTGATATAATCGTTGTTTTACTTCTGGATCATCCGCTCAAAACGGACAAGTTTCATTCATCATCTTATAGTGTTTTTTTTTTACTCGGCATCATAGTAGGAAACATATCATGTCACCTAATGAAAGTGTGAATGAAAAATGATGAGAATGAAAGCAATAATGAAAGTGTGTAAATGAAAATGAATTATCATGCAAATACATCTGGGAAACATGATATTGTGTTGATGGTTTTTATTTTTATTTGGGTGGCATTTGTCCTAGGTGGCATTTGTCTGGGCGGCATATGTCCTAGGTGGCATTTGTCCGGGTGGTTTTTGTCCGGGTGACATTTGTCCTAGACCCCAGAGTGCAACCTTCTATAGTCTCCCTCGTGCAACCAACCATAACATTTGTTGTTTTAACGTGTCTGACAAATGGGATGTCTAACTTATGTACTGTATGGCTGACAAACAAATAATTAACCTGAACCCCAATATACATGCCGTGAAACACAAATGCTAAGATAATGTTTTCTTTACGGAACTACCACTGACGAGAAATGAAGTAGGCTATTCTAAATTGATATCAGTCTGCTACCTGAGTTTGGGGCGGGTAGTCCGGTGGTTAAAGCGTTCACTTGTTCCGCACAAGACCCGCCGTGACAGTACCGGAATACCGTTAAGGCGGCATGACGCCATACTCACTCATTCACACAGAACAAGTTTATGCAGACTCTCTTCGATCTGCTCGCAGGAGTGAGTGAGTGAGTGAGTGAGTGTGGTTTTACGCCGCTTTTAGCAATGTTCCAGCACTTTCACGGCGGGGGAAGTATGCTAAAAACAAACCAGAAATGGGCTTTAAACATTGTTGCCAAGTGGGGACTCGAGCTTGGGCCTTCGGCGTGACAAGCAAAAGTTTTAACCACAGGGCCAACCCACCGCCCTCGAAGGTGCTAAGCAACGCGCCCAGGCAAAACGTGTGTAATAAAATTCCAAAGGGAGACAACTTTTGACGACTTGTATGCTATAACAGCGAACCGTATTTTGTTTACATGCTAACTATTTGGTCTGTAATGATATTCTTGTATGTTCAGATTGCTATAAATGCGAAATGTGATTATGTTGATGGGAAAAAGAAATGTGCTTCTATCTTCAAGCTAATGCAACAATAATAGGATATTTACGCAGCATGCATTTTGCTAACGAGAGTATACGTGAGGTAAGATGGCGGCAAATGAAAACATAAACACATAAGACAGAGAGCCTTGTTTTCTCGGAGTTTAACGAAGAAAGAGAAAGAATCGATCTTATCGTCGCATTCGGTCCGAAAACTGGATAAGAGACCGTGAGTAGATGCATGAGTGACGTGTTTGAGTTTAGTTAAGTATTTTCGCAGCAGCGGTTTCCAGCTGATAGCCCCCGGGCAGGTCACAACTGTCAAAACATAAGCCGGAAGCTGAGGAGAGTCCAGCTTGTTACTGTTGTCAAGTTCGACAAAATCTCAGTCAACCTTTCTGCTGATACCCTGAACGACTAACGCCATGACGACTTTAAACTGAATGTGTTTGGGCTGGATTCCTAATGGTCTAATTGCTTTATGAACTTGATAAGGCCATCCCATATAATACTTGTTTCAGGCACTAATGGAATGTATTTTATCTGATTCCAGTAAACTAGTGGACTTTACAGGCAGTAACCTAACCCTAACCATGATTTGATTCATCTCAAATTCACTTTCGTGTTGCTGTTATATATCTAATATATGTTTTTAATTAATTTAAAGTAACATATAATTTTATTAGTGACTTGAACAATCGGAAGTCTTATACTGCCCTGACTTTAAGTGAGTGTTTTATTCTGTAGCTTATTTGCACTGATCCAAAAACATTAGTTTTTTTAATAAGGGT